TACGAGTACTCTTCCTTGTTACACTTGAGTTCATATTCAACATGTGTATGTTTTAAAGTTCAATTATGCTTTAATCGAGATTATTGATCCTGATTTAATTCTATTATAGAGAATATCTTATTAGGTCAATAAAGCATTGTGAATTGGATGTATGTGATCGATAACACAAGAGTGAGTTGATAGCTTGCTATGTATTGAGTGGGGACCTCACTCACTAGAGGGAGCCTAGAGTAGAACACCTTGATCATTTGTTCTAGAGAAGGATACATCCCTCTAGGTAGGGGTGGGCATTCGGTCAGTTCGGTTTCGACCGAACCAAAATTATGAATATCGGGTCCCCGAATTCTCCCAAACCTCAAACCAAATTCGAACCGAATTATAATTTGGTTCGGCCGGCTTTACACACAAAACTGAATTTGAGAGGCTACTTGTATCTTCTCACTTTTAAATTATTTTTCACCCCTAATATAAACAACAAATATGCATAATCAACGATAAAATCAAACTTTTCAACACATAAGTCATAAAATATTTATATTATTTAAGTATAAAAACAACTGCAAACATTAAAATCCACCATTTGGAGCTTGCAATTCTAGTATTTCAGTTTTTCGGTCGGAATTTCGGTTTGGTTGAAAGAACCCTGATTTCCAAAATATCCATATTTTCCTTCCGAACCGAATAGCATTATTTCGATTTCGGTTTGGTTTGGTTCGGGTTTACCGAACCGGTTGCCCATCCCTACCTCTAGGCAATCGACTCAAGAGGGTCTTGATTGCTTTAATCGAGATTCAAGGTCTAGTCAAGGACTCTGCATTGTGAAGAAATAGTGAATCAAGTTAGAGAATCGTCAATCATTAATCCGGCTAGTGGCTAGGGGGGATTATACCTAAATGAGTTCCCAATATGTAATTAGATTAACCTTAATTGTAGTTAGAGTAGTTGTAGTTGTTTACTCTTAATTTGACCTGCTAAATAATAAACTGAAGCTTCGTAATAGTACATCTAGAGATCTGTGTATTCAATATCTTATTATTTGTGCCACTATAATGCGAACTTCATTCTCAGGAGTGCAGTTTTAACGAATCAATGAATTAGTTAGGTCAGAAGTTTAATTACTTCTTCTCGAGGCAAGGACCATGAGGTGGTGGACATCAGTAGGTTGTTCCTGTAATTTGTGGATTTTGCTTTCGTTTGTTTTCTATTTTGATTTTTAGACTAATATGGATTATGAGCACTTGCTTGTATCCACTATCTATCATTCCTTTTTGTTTTTGTGTGTTTTGAACTATTATTTTAAGTCTTACTACTAACTATTCTCCACAATCCATTCAAAATTAGTTTGACAAATGAGGTAACTCGTTCCAAATTTTCCATAGCTCACGATTATATAGTCCATTGTGGACAATAAACTGAAGCTTCGCAATAGTACATCTAGAGATACGTGTATTCGATATCTTATTACTGTGCCACTATAATGCGATCTTGTCATTGTCAGGAGTGCAGTTTTAACGAATCAATGAACGAGTTTGGGCAGAAGTTTAATTACTTCTTCTCAAGGCAAGGACCATGAGGTGGTGGACATCAGCAGGTTGTTCCTATAATTTGTGGATTTTGCTTTCGTTTGTTTTCTATTTTGATTTTTAGACTAATATGGATTATGAGCACTTGCGTGTATCCACTATCTATCATTCCTTTTTGTTTTTGTGTGTTTTGAACTATTATTTTGAGTCTTACTACTAACTATTTTCCACAATCCATTTAAATTTGGTTCGACATATAAGGTAACTCGTTCCAAATTTTCCACAGCTCACGATTATATAATCCATTGTGGACAATGTCCATTTTATAGTGTGGGTTGGAGTTGTGTGCGATGTGATACTTCATTATGCTTTCAATTTCTATATCTTTATTCGTACAATGTCAAATAGTTATTCCAAGTTAGTAGCTATGTTATACATGGAAATTTTGGAAATTTTTTTAAAGATGTTTTCCATCTATTGACTTTTAGTCATCCCCTACAAGCATGTTTACTGCTCATTTTACTTTAAATCAATGACTCTAGGGAATATTATTTTATCTAGGGAGGCTAGTGGTGACTATGAAGGATGTTATAGTCAATGAGATATAATAACCATTTGATATGTTTGAATGCTATGTGGTTTGATTCATTCATAAATTTATGATTATGCAATGAGTCGCACCTTTCAAAGTTTTACATATGGTGAATTGTATCTTCTATAAAATGCGAAAACTACCTATCAAGACATGATTATATCTTCAAAAATTTGTCAACTATGTCGAGAAATAAAGTGTGGTGTAAGCACAACGTATGAGGCATCTTTTATTGCACAAAATTGGGTTTCGAAAGAGATACTAGTGGCTTTTTAGTGACCCAGTTCGAAGCTAGTTCCTCTCTAGTACAAGTAAAATTTCCACCAGTTGAATTGATAGCCAATTTGATGATGGTTCGATACTCCTTAATTTCATTGAACCTCCACGCAAATTGAGTTATAGGAGTTAAAAAAGTACTTTGACAATGGTAGAGATACAAAAATTGCTTTTACTCTACTATTAAGGGTCTAATGCTCTAGTTAAGCTCCCTACACAAGAAAAAAAAATAGTGATGAGAAAATTTTGAAAATTTGAAGAAAGAGCCGAAGTCTTTGAAGGCAAAAGTGCTTAAAGATTATGTCAAATGATGGTAGAAGCCTTAAAGAGTTAAATCTGTTTTTTTTTTAAGTTACGCCCTATGTTTTTTTTAGACTTTAATGCATAGTTACTAGTTTTAAGCTTGAGTTGGATTACATGGTGTTCTTGCATGTTGATGTGGTTAGGATTCTCTCGTGCTATTGTTGACCTTGTAAGTTCACATTTGATCTACTACCTAAATCATGATTCGGCGATGCTCCTTAGTATTCTTTGAGATGTGATTATTAGTTGTGGACAAGAAAAGTGCAAGTGTGTGGTGTTTCTTATATCACTCCATTTATAGTGTTTATCACACCCATAATTTATACATTTTTCCTTTATATACAATTTCTGATGTTATAGTTGTATTAATAATTTTTTATAAAGCAAAGGATTACAGAACAAAATAGTGTCAATGAAATTCAGAGCGGGTAGGAATTGGGGTGTTTAACGGTTTAGTTCGATGGTGGAATCATTCTCTCCTCACTATGACACAATTTCAACTGATTATGAGTGTAAAAGTTTGTTTCTAACTGAAATATAAACACCTATGCATAGTACAAGAGAGAGGGGGTAAATTGGAGTTTTTCTTCCTAAACTCGGCTAGAAGCTTCCTAATACCACTAGGACTCAGAATCTCTGACATGGGGTCAAAGTGAGATCTTCTAGACTTCCTTTTGGGCTTGGGCCATGAGTGGCGACTGGGACCAACACCCCTTTTCTTCGTATGTGGGCTTCCTTGGCCCATTTGCAACCTCATAACTATTTGATCAATGATCCTTTAATAGACATAGGATATGTTCTTGTATTCTTTGATGCCTTCTTGGTATATTTTTTATGGTTTTGAAGGTACAAAGCAACCTAAGTAAGTTTGGATCAATCACTAAAGAACTCCGGATGACCAAATAAACTATAAGGAAAAGATTTAGGAGCATTCGTGATAAAAAAGAGGTCCAATGGCGGAGAATTCTACTAGGAGTTGCTATATAATTACAACTCATAAGACAAGCCCATGGGAGCAAGACTCGACCCAGTATGAAGAAAGAACGAGTGGCGGGCCAGCTTCTGGTCCAACCATCTTAGGAAAACAAGCCCAAGACGTGCCCAATTTCTAAGGGGAAGTCGTCCATGGACTAGGGAGGGAGCCCAACCCACGAAGAAAAGTAGTGGCGGCCCCTACCGTAACCAACCCTAATTTGCCCGTGAAACTTCTTCAGCAAGCTACTTCATCTAGAAGTTGATGGAATCCGACTTCAAGTCCGATAAGGAAATATTTGGCCGAGTTTAGGAGAAGAAAACACTTTGTCCCCCTCTCTCTTGTACTATAAATATGTTCTTAGACTTCAGTTAGAAGGTACATTTTTACAACTAAGAACCGTTGAAGCTCTGTTGGAGTGAGGAGAGAATGACTCATTTTTTTGGTCTGATCCTTCTCATTCTCGCATGGCCAGCTAACTCTTTTGTTGTTTGGGGTGTTGATTCGATGATGTGATGTAATATTTTCGATGAGTTGATGAGATGCCCTAAAGCATCGATGGTCCTTCTTTTAGCGTCGATGGTTTAGTTCTTTATATGCTTGGTATCTTGTTATGGTGCAATACTATGTGTATTGATTATACTACTACCATGAGAAAACATGGAAACTAATCTCATGCAGTAGGCATCATTGCTGGGCGTGTATCCTAGGGGAAGTACATCCCTAGTATTTGAATAATAATAATGATGCTTGTTGCCTAAAGATGCCCAATACCATATACCGTCATTATAGTTCGTAAAAGCCCATAATCAACGATATGATATCTTTACTTCCCTGATCTTCATTAATTAGTTGGTGGCATGAAGCGAAAATTTTTGTTGACGCATGCACGAGTAAAAAGATATATTGTTAAGAAAAGAAGAATATAACATAATATGGTGAATAAAAATAGTAACACATAGAATGTTAGCTCCTATCTCATCCTTTAACCTTAGGAGTAGTTAGAAGCACGTAATCCATTCTTCTTGATTACGGTAAAGTATGAGCTACTGGGAAGAAGGAAAAAAAAGTTGTGTAATTGACACTTTTATAATTTAACAACAATAAAATATAATTAAAAAAAAAATATTGAAGTCAAGAGATAGTTATGCTTATGCAGATGCCTCTAGCAGCACAGCACATTTAATAATTTATACATCTCCCACCCTCCCACAGCTTACCCTATTATTACTCACCAAAGCAAAGCTAGGAGAGAGAGAATCTAAGGTGTGGTGTTGCCAGCTATGAAGTTGAAGGATCAAAGCTTTCTCTGAGGTCAAAGCTGGCACATTTCTCTCTTTTTTCTTTTTTTTTCTTCTTTTCTTTTCTTTCTTCCCTCTTCTAAATTAACTATTCCCCATTTTCCATTATTCGTTCTTCCTCCTACTCATTCATTCATTCATTCTCCTCTCCTGCCTGCCATCTCATCTCCTCCCCCACCTCCTCTCTTATTTACATTCTGAAAAATCGCCAGGCAGAGAGAGAGAGAGAGAGAGAGAGAGCGAGCTCAAATCATCCCCATTTCCCCCTCTCTCTTATATATCCCCTCCCCCACTTTAATTTCTCAACCCCAAAAATGCCTCTTCTGCTTTGAAGAGAGAAAACAGAGAGAGAGAGAGAGAGACAAGAAAAAGGAGCAGAAGAAACCAATCCAGAGCTACCAAGCGGAAAACAATGGCGACTTCTCCTTCCCACGCTGGCCCTGAGAAGAAGCACTGGTGGCTCACCAATCGAAAGGTATTACCCTCCCTCTCTCTCCCATCTCCTTATCTTGCTCTATCGGCTGCCAAATGTATGCTTTTCAGTTTCCCCATTTTGACACACTATTTTTTTTTTATTGCGCAGATCGTGGACAAGTATGTTAAGGATGCGAGGAGCTTGATTGCGAGCCAAGAGCAGGGCGATGTCGCATCCGCATTGAACCTGCTGGACTCGGCGCTCTCGCTCTCGCCGCGATTCGAGCCAGCGCTGGAGCTGAAGGCGAGATCCTTGCTCTACCTCAGGCGATTCAAAGATGTTGCTGATTTGCTACAGGACTATATCCCCAGCTACAAAATCGCAGCCGACGAATCTTCTTCTTCCTCCTCCTCTTCTTCTTCTTCTTCGTCTACATCTTCCTCCGATAGTTCGTCCCAGCAGCTCTCCAGAGAGCGGACGAAGCTCCTCACTCATTCGGAGAATTCCTCATCGGATCTGCCCGGCGATCGGGATCCGAGCTTCAAGTGCTTCTCCGTCTCCGATTTGAAGAAGAAGGTCATGGCGGGGCTCTGTAAAAACTGCGACAAGGAAGGGCAATGGAGGTAATTTCATTTCCTTCCTCCCAATTTTCTTTTTATTTTATTGTGTATATAGATTAGGAAGTACGACATTATTAGTGGTTGGAGTAAATGCACAGCTACGCATCCATCCATCAATTTTGCCTCTCTGCTGCCTTTCCCTTCTTTCCATGCCATTGCCTTCCCATTCACACCTTTTTGGTTTTCCCTTTTCTATGGCTAATTATTAATCGATATAAATATTTTTCTTTCTTGGGCTTAGCTGTTGGTTGGTTGGCAATTATTAAATGTCCTATGTGTTTCGTTTCGTTTCGAGTTTGACCCTCCTCGGCAATTATTGGGCTTTCTTCCAGGTATTTGGTATTGGGCCAAGCCTGCTGCCATTTGGGCCTAATGGAGGACGCGATGGTCCTTCTCCAAACCGGGAAACGCCTCTCCACCGTCGCATTCCGGCGCCAGAGCATCTCATGGTCCGACGACAGCTTCTCCCTCCCCAACTTCCCCTGCGACTCCACGGCCCCGCCGACTCCGCCGCGGTCCCTGGCCGAATCGGACAACAAAATCACTCACCTCCTCTCCCACATCAAGCTCCTCCTCCGCCGTCGCGCTGCCGCCATCGCCGCTCTCGACGCCGGTCTCTACGCCGAAGCCATCCGCCACTTCTCCAAGATCGTTGACGGCCGGCGGGGAGCGCCGCAGGGATTCCTCGCCGAGTGCTACATGCACAGAGCCTTCGCCTACAAATCCTGTGGCCGAATCGCCGAGGCGATCGCCGATTGCAACAAGACTCTGGCACTCGATCCGTCCTCGATTCAGGCTCTGGAGACAAGAGCCTCGCTCCTCGAGACCATCCGCTGCCTGCCGGACTGCCTACACGATCTGGAGCACATGAAGCTGCTGTACAATTCGATCCTTCGTGACCGGAAGCTCCCCGGCCCGGCGTGGAAGCGGCAGAACGTGAGGTACAGGGAGATTCCGGGGAAGCTCTGCGCGCTGAGCACCAAAATTCAGGGGCTGAAACAGAGAGTCGCCGCCGGTGAGATCGGGAACGTGGATTACTACTCCTTGATCGGATTGAGGAGGGGATGCTCGAGATCCGAGCTGGAGCGAGCTCATTTGCTGCTCTGCTTGAGGCACAAGCCAGATAAGGCGACGAATTTCGTGGATCGGTGCGAGATCGCCGACGAGCGCGATCTCGATTCGATCAAGGATCGAGCGAAAATGTCCGCGCTGTTGCTCTACAGATTGATACAGAGGGGTCACTCTAGCCTGATGAAGAACATTCTGGATGAGGAGGCTGCCGAGAAGCAGAGGAAGAAAGATGCCGCCGCGGCGGCGGCAGCAATGCAGGTTCAATCCGCGGCCGAGGCAGCTGCCGCGGCCGCGGATTGTCAGGCTGCGACGTCGTCCGGGAGCGTGGATCCGGCGGTGTTCCAAGGAGTGTTCTGCCGGGACCTGGCGGTGGTCGGAAGCCTGCTGTCCCAAGTCGGGTTTAACCGCCCGATTCCGGTCAAATACGAGGCGCTGAGCTGCTGATTTGGATTAGGAGAAGTGGGAAATGGGAATCTCTGGTTCATATTTTTGTGCAAAAAAAAAAAAAATTATAAGTTAGCAGCAGCATTGCAGCAAAATACATTATTACAGTGTTGTTCTTTTCACCGCCGGGGAAATTTTGTCGATCATCACCACGTTCTCGCGTTATCTCTTCTTTTTTTCTATCTATCTTTATTGATGCACTGCTACTGCTGCTACTGCTCGAGGAATCCTTATCACCTCTACTGCGCTGCTTCAATTATTATTGTGTACAGAATCTTTCGCTTTCTACACTACAGTACCCCTATTTTTTGCCCCTCTCTTGGATTCCTAGCTCGTTTTGGAGTTTACCGCCCTTTCTACCCTTTTCAAACTTGGACATTTTTTTAACACCGGTCAGGTACTGTGCTTTATCAAAACACCATTATTAAATAGTAATCATTGGAATACATCTCCAAAAACGTATCCAAAACACATCAATATGATAAAAAAATATAAATATATATAAATTCTGTCTGTTTATAAAAAAAACATTTACAAATTTATAGCAGTAAGAAAGTGGAACAGGCATATGCACAGCTGAACCTAGATGAGTTTTACCTAGTTTGGGTTCAGCTCGACAATGAATGAGTGGAGTTTAAACTCGGTTTGTTTATTATAATATTAATTTGTTCTTTTTTATTTGAGTTCGACTCGAATTCTGTTCATTTATGAACTCGCGAGTTGTTCTTGATTTTGCCTAATCAGTGAGCTCGTGAGTTCGATTTGAGCATTGTAGGAGTCACCTTGCAAGAGGTTCGGGATTAGAATACCAAAAATAAACAATATTTGTACAGAGTCCATAATACACAAACTCAACACCTCAACTCCACTAGTTTTACTTGTCCACCAACAAATGTAGATAACTTTGTGTTTGTGGCACACATTACCCCCTGCTTGTTACATAAATAACTCCAGATTTCATATAAAATCGTGTCTCTAATTGTTTATTCTAGGTTCACTAATTCTTAACATAGTGCCGAACTCCTCGCTCTCAAACGAAAAAATCAATCGGCAAACTATGAAAACCCGTCTTGGGTCATTTAAATAGTTTGGCTCGCTAGCCACACCGATGAGTCTATCTCATGACTTGAGTTCAACAAGCCACCAAATCGAGCAGGCTCGCGAACCTCGCGAATTGGACAAGAATTAACTCAAACTCGATTCGTTTACTAATGAATCTATAATCAAAAGTTGAGCTGGTGAATAACTCTGGTCATCTTGTAGTGGTAGTGAACATGTCAAGTGGTATATATATGCACCAAAACCCTATTCAAAATAATAACGGGGGGAGAAGAAAGCAGTACAGATTGGCGTGAGTTGAAAGGCGCAGCAGCAGCAGCAGCAGGTGAATTAAATGTAGCCGTTTTTGCACATAGTGTACCCTGACACCCTATAAAAATAATGAGAAAGGTGGTGTATATCAAAATAATACTAGTAGGAAAATATGGTGAAGTTAATGGTGCGTGTTTAGTGGTTGGCAACTTAGCAAGCAAAGCCAATGCCAAAGCCAATTTGCTGATTTCGAAAGCAATTGTTTATGAACGTGTGGCGAAAGAAAGGGTAATGGAGTTTACCAGAGCTAATTGTTTAGTTGTTTATTTATTTATGATATCGAAGATTATAGTGATATATAATAACCTAATATATGTCACGAATTTTCACGAGTGAAGCCATTTCTTGATTTGAACAATCTTAGCATGACGTTGTCTGAATTTTTTAATTTTTAATCTTTTGACATACTACTAAATGGGTCTGGAGGAGAATGAAGAGTTCACTTTGGATTTATGAAATATGTGAGTTTGCATGATAATTCATAGAGAGGACTCAAAACTTGTGAATCTCGCAAACATTCAAGCATTGTGAATAGGGACGAGCCAAATGAGGAGAGGTGGGTTCCGAAATCCACCTCTACTTCGTATCCGCTTTAATTTTGGCATAAATTCGAAAAAAATTATGAGAAATAATATACAAAAACATTTTTGAATTTGAATAAATAGTTTGTAACAAATAGATGTTAACAACTGATTTATGTGGGTTTAACAAATTAGTTATATGTTTTTAAAAATATTTGCTAACCATTTGTAAGGATTCTGCTCACCATAGACGTGTTTATATAAACATACATTCTAATCTATATGATACACTATGATTTGTACAAAAATTCAAAATTTCTACCCCTCTAATTGTTTATTATCCACTTCTCAAATTTCAAAATCATCAAAGATTCAATTTGACTCTCATCGGCCTTTAGGATTTTAATTGTGTTTACAAATTTTTTGAAACATGCATGTCGAAATTATTCTAAAAATCTAAACAACTTCATCTTATATACTTTCTTTTCAATACATATCCACCTTAACCAAAAAAAACATGGTTACATACACTACTGCATGTGAATCTTAAGACACAAATACTATGATCCATATTTTCTCCAAGACTCTAGAACCAGTTAGATAGGCTGGTTTTACTTGGTTTGATGGCTTTGACCGCCTCTGCACATCATGGATCTTCCTGTCGATCTGATTACCGATAGCGGTTGAACCCGATTGACCTAACCAACATGCTACTGGTTTGAGAGCATTATGTTTTAACACATTAGATCCGAGCTTTACCACTAATAGTCATTTAAGAATAAAATAAAATGTGATATAAAAATAGTTATAAACTTCCTAGTTTTCTTAGGAGAACCTTTTATTTAATGAGGTTGAATCTTTAAGTTACTCACTGTTCAATGAATTCATGATGATGGTTTTCTCGTATTGTGAGATACTTTATGTTATAAAAGACATGCAATCCACTAATGGATAGAGAAAAAAAATAGATATATATATATATATATACAAATATAAGCCATTTTCTAAAGTGATAGTAACATGTACATGTTGGGATTTGCGATTTAAATTTGGCAAAATGCTTTGAACGTTACACTAGTTCCCATTCTCGGGCTTAGCCAGCCAGTTATTCAACAATGATATAAAAGGGCCTAGTGGTGGCGATTATCAACGTTAATGTAAACTAGATAAATTGCTCTAGTAAGAATTCTAGTATTTCTTCATGGTGTCTGAATGTGGTTTGGTGAAAATATCTTCTGTAACTGTCAATATTAATAATTCATTTAACCACATAGTATGGCGAGCTGCGAATCAAGTTGTTAAATAGATTTTTATTGTTATACTGGTTAAGCAAGTAGTATAGTTCGACCGGTGGTACAACCAATTTGTGTCGATAAAATGAATATGTATAAATATGGAAATCTATCAATGCCAAATGAATTTAAAATAAAAAACATATTTGAAGACTAGTTACTTATAATATATGCATATTTAAACAAAATACAACATTCCAAAAAAAAAATTACAAATACCCATTTAAATACAACATTTAACGTCAAACCCAGTGTCATTAACCTGCCCAACAAGCTTACCTGTATGAAAAACTTTTATACTTGTAACATCAACATTTAAATCTAACAAGTAACATCAACATTTAACTTTTAAATTCATGAAATGAATCACAAATGAACTAAGTTCAATAAAAATACGTAAGTTTGTTTATAAGCTGAAAATCGATCATACCGGTGGTATTCACGCTGGTTTCATGACCAATATTGGTTGAACCTAGTTCAATCGGATGACATTCCACCGGCGTGACAGCCATAACATAAACTCAAATAGGTGAACTAAGATTTATACTTAGAACTATTGGAGAATTAATTGATCCTACTTTCAAAATCCTTATGATCAATTAATTCTCGAAATCCTTTGACAAACTCCAAAACTAATTCAATTATTGAATTACTTAATATCATTATGCATGAGAATAATGTAGTCATGTGATGTGACCTGAGAGTTATGGACGCCAATTGCTTTCATCAAAACCTTAGGTCCTAGCTAGCTGCAATCAAACCTGCACGAAAAAACTGTCATCAGTAACCACACATGAGGAGGGAAAAATGGTCAGTTTATCGATTTGTTAGAAGGCAACGAATTTATTGGAGCGAATAATGATGATAATATTAAGAAACAAAATGGATTAGGGAGAGAATTGCGAACACATTGGTAAGCAAGCAGGATTAGTGATGAACACGTGATGTTTGAATGTTGGGAACATAACATTGAAAAGAGTGGTTCGTGGCCAGATAAGATGATGTCAGTGCCAACATGTGAAGGCCATCATGTGCCATCTGTTTCTCCTTTTCAATGACAGGTCCCCACCCCTCTCCCCTAGGTAGGGCTGATCTGAACAAAGTCACACCTCGAACCAATCCGAAAGTCCAACAAATTTAAGGAGTTTAGTTTCGATGATGAGTTCTATCCGATCAATTTGATCTAATCATTTTGTTTTGAGATAATCTGATCAAATTGATTAGTTTCGTTTCACAAAATTTGGATAAAGTAAATATTTTGGCCAAATTGATGAGGTGAATATGGCGAAGGAACGATTGTTCGACCATTTGAAATCAAAACTGGGATACAAAACAACAGGGTGACAAATTTCACGGTTTACGGGACACATATCACGTAGGGCTGGGAAAATAGACCAGACCGTTAAAAAAACCGTGGTCCAAACCGTACCGCACAGTTTGGTCCGGACCGTAGACCGTGAAGTATGGTCTGGTCTGGTCCATGGTCTGTATTATTTTATAATTTGATCTCTTGGTCTGGTCTGGTCTAGACCGCGGTTTATCGGACCAAACCGTAGACCCAACTGACTTATCAATACGTGTTAACAGCTCATTCGACCACTCTCCAAACTCCCACAACGACACCCAAGTCTCAAACTTAATTTTGTGAATATCTTTTCTCCTTCATTCACAACCACATTTAACCACAGAGTAGAAATAATTGTATCTCCATATGACATTATGTTAATATTTATGACATTATGGTGCAAGCTGGGATGTTTTTACTTTGTATCTTTGTTATGTACTAAGATTTAGAGTATCAAAATTATTCATGCATGTTAGGATTAATGTTTTAAGGAAAATAACAATTATTTTTCTTGGTTATTGGTTCAATTTTTTGTGTGGTAGACTAAACAAATTATTTATTTTTCGTTGAGTGTGGTCTATCTGGACCAGACCAGACCGAACCAGACCGCACAGGCGTGGTCTGGACCAGACCGTACAGTCTGTGGTCTGGTCTGTGGTATATACTTTAACCTCTCGGTCTGGACCGTAGACCGTATATATGGTCTGGTCTGGACCAGACCGCACCGTTTCCCAGCCCTAATATCACGGCCCAAGCCATGACATTTATAGTTGAAATTGTGACATTCGATATACTTTAAACATGTCACAACCGGCCAACACATATCACGATTTCAATTGTGACATGGGCAACATTAGTCATGACTTGTGCATATGATGTGGTGCATTTCTATTCGATGTCACGATCACTGTCAAATGTCACGGTCATGACATGAAATCATGACTCGTGCACTGTCTCGAGTATAAAGTTGTTGCTGTAATTTTGAGAGGGGGAGAGCTGGGTTTTCGGCCCAAAAACACCCAAGGGGCATGATTGTCGAGATTGTAGCGTCACTACCAAATTTACCTGGCCCTAAGGTAATGATCGTATTCCCTCGGGCCTCTCGCAGAACCCTTACTTTGAAAGGGAGATACGGTTCTATTGAATAAGAGGTCGATTTAGGAGGTTGATGTGCCTTTGGTTTTCCAACACGTAAGAGTTGGAAAGTAAAGCGGTGCAGTCGTGCAGAAAGGTAAATTATAAGCTACTGGAGAAGCGAGACAACAGAAAAGGAAAGTGTTGCATCGACAATGTTCACCCTAGGTCCTAACCACACACCCTGAATGATTGGAGCATATGAGCTGCCAATTTTTTTATTTCGTTAGATCCCACCTTGTATCGAAGCATTTAGCCGAACTAATGGGTGACAAGGAACCTTCGCAATTGTTCCATGAGGAGTCACGCTTTTTGATTGAATGAGGTTCGATCGAGTAGGACTGTTATTTCTAGACCCATCCTAAACGACTAGGATTTTGATCTTTGCACCTCGAAGGAGTGCAAGATCAACTAAGCAATCATTCGAATAACTAATAACGAAATAGAGGAAATCAAGCATCACACATATGAAAATCAAACAATAGTAAGCCAAATCATTGAGTTTACATGGTTAGAACACCTAGGATTCATACACATATGCAACTAAGGATCTTAGAGAGCCATGGGGAGAGGTTCCTGGATGTTCATTGATGGAAACGGATACACTAGGAGTCCCACATTGGTTGTAACAGATAAAGTAGGCTCTAGGTCACCGTTTTAGTTGTCAATTTTCCCTCTAAGAGTGGACTCATTCTAAGTTAGGAGGATTACTATGTCGGCAGAGTAACGACCATTTCTTGACCTCTCGTCTCCTTCTCTCTAGCTCTTTCTCCAGAACCCTATTTATAGATCTTCGATTAGGTTTTTTGAGGAGGAAAACTCACCTCTTTTGCGTCATTCGACCAATCAGAACGCTCCAAACACTTGGCTAGCGAATCAGGATGCTCCGTGATAATTTCTTGACGAAGTGGACGACCTCCCTAAAACAACGGCGTGGCCTCCCTTTTTCTTTATTAAAATGACGCTCTGGGCACCGTTTTACTTAGGCGTCCGGTCTTCGAATCCTTGCTCCAGCAACTTGGTCTCGATGTCCCTTACGGCTTCCAAATGGTCCACTAGATTGCTTTGCCCTAAAAATGCACAAAACGCTGCCAAAGGCGTATCAATCGTATAAAAGCAATCATAGGGTTGCTATAACACACTTGAAGCAATCATAACAATAATTAAATGTATTATGACATTATGGATAGGAAATGTATGCACTTTGGGTCACAATACGAGGGTCTAGAATAGATACTTTCATGTGTCACCGGAACACTTCAAAGAGAGGGAGTGCGTTCTAAGAGGGTTCGTGGAGCTAAATTGGAGGTACCCATCACCATTAAAGCTAGAAGATCAACCATAGATATTAAGATTGAAGATCTTGAGCTTTCTATATTCTCTCTCATTTCTATATGTTTATTTATAATGTTTTAACATTTTTGTATATTGATACAACATATTGATGGCCTAATTGAAAATAACTTAGTGTTTGTCTTTAATTGGACCTCGGTTGGAATTCTTGAGCCGGTTCGCCCGATTCAAGTAGTTAACCGTGCAAACCCGGTTCGATCAATTATTCGTCCAAATTGACATCCAACCAACCGGTTCAAATACGATAATTAAACGCAGACCACCAATTGGACCGATCGATTCGGTTCGGTCTTTCACACAACTACAGAAATTTGTAACACTTGATGGACAGTGGCTAACCTTTCCTCGTTGCGCCTCGTTGGATGGTTATCCACGAGCTAAAAGAGACAGCCAGCCCAACAACAACTCAACCGGCAAGCACAGCCATTTTAGACTGGGCAATCGGCACCACCTGGTCCCTCACTTTTGTCTCCCATCGAATCGATCCACTAGACCACCACCGTGTTGAACCTTTACATTTCCATAACATTGCATGACCCTTGTCTGTTCCGCTTGTTTCTATGTGAGTGGCAATCCCATCCAACTATGGATTGACAATTCTCGTATTAGGATTGGACCAACTTTGATATTTTCTGACATGGCTCTACTCATCCTTCCGTTTAGTAACACAACCCCAAGGTAGAGAGGCACGTAGACGGTTGACGGAGCAACTGTTCGATCATATGTCGCTTTTGAGAAGAGGCGGAGCATTCCTTTAAGACGGTCGTACCTCATCACGTACCGATCTTATGACTAGAAACAGGAAGGAGGTCGACATGAACAATCGATAGTCAAATTCATATCTAACAACACTTTGTCAAGTATTACCGGTTTGATCCAAATTAAAGCGTTTGTGTAAATGTACCGTATCGATAGTACGACCGAAAACACTACGTACTGAAGTGTAAACCAATCGGCGGTTTATAGCGGTATGAAAATGATTGAACCACGATTAAATCATGATTTTCAACACAAAATCTCTACCGTTAACTTTGCCGATACAAACCTACGGTAATCAATCTCTAACAATCATTGATCAAGGAATAAGAAAGGCCAAGAAACCTGTTTCTTTTCCTCACGCTTTACCTGCCCAACTCTCCATTATTAGTGACGTGTAACTGTGTAAGTGAGAGGGAAGTCGCGTGACAAAATACACAGATTAATTTGGATACGCAAGCAAGCCCAAATCCACATAATCATCGTAACAACAATAATGGTACAGAAACAAACTGATGAAAGATAGACCACCGTCCCCAACCCAACTGCCTGCGGTGACAAAATTAGGAATCTACATCACGATACGCCCACGACGCTATGAATATATATCGCCATCTGGCCTTGAAAGACAACCACGCTATGAATATGACGTTTCGTACGAGTTTTTGGGAGGAATGCTAACTATGCCACGTGTGTGGATCCATTGCTAGGCAAGCAAGTTACCGCATTTTGTCCTTTAGAAGCCAGTCACCTTCTATGACTGAGGTCAAATGAATAAAGATTAAAGAATCGACCTACCAGCTCTTTTTTTTTTGCCCTGTACAAAATCATTCCTTGACAAACAAGAAAGATCAAAAGACAACGATGGTGATCAATGAAGCTTGATCACGTTGTAAACACCTAAGAGAACCAATCGTGCAGGGAGCAAAAGCACCACAAACAAGTGCATGTGCTGGGAAGCCACCATCCTGCTGAACCTCCTCAAGGAGTCTCTTCCCGTCTGCAACGCACCCGAGAAGTTGAACTGCAGTACCTTCTCCCTCGACGAAAAACCCTGCCTCCCGACCATGAAGACGTCGTGGGGGGCCAGCATCGACCACCAGAACTTCCGTCGCAGCTCCCTCCTCGCCTTCCTGATGCGGTTCATCTCCAGGCGTATCACGTTGCGCAACGACTTCACGTACGAGTTCATGTCGTGGTCCCGCTGGATTGCTCCTTCGGAACCATAAGCTGCCCGATCGCGCAGGATCTCGAGTGGGTGTGGCGTGTTGAGGAACTTGGCCTTTGCGACTCGAATCAGCTTCTCTGCATTGTCTTCATCACCACCGCGGTCTGATATTGGGTAGCTCAGGAAGAACAACCCACTGCCTGAGGGTAGGAGTTCGTGGTGAGGTGAGAATCTCGCGTCTGGCTGTAGAATCACGATTTCGCCCATTGGGGCATATAACATGCTCTGCATAATGGAAGGGATCAACAACGGTGAGTTGTTGGGATGAATGGGTTCTCAACAACATATAACAGAAACATGTATATGCACACACCACCTATTCAATCCAACCACCCTATATGAAATACTAACAGGCTGTTAACATAGCAAAACAGTTGAAAGGTCACCTGGTTATTGAGACATGAGTGGCTCCGGAAGTTCGAATTCACAGCTTTCAAAAGTTCTGCAACGTGATTAGGGTAATTACAGGAGAAAGCCCGAGGGACGATGTCTCTATGCATTGTTATTGCCTGTACATGATTCCGGGGCAGGCCAAGCTTATCAAGGAGCTGGTCTCCACCGCACATGATGGATGGCGAACCAAATGTTATGACAGGGAGCAAACACGAGGCTGGCACTTCACCTCTTATTAGCAACATCAGGTTTATGAGCACAGACAAGCTTCCACCGAGGGAATGACCAGTGAAACGAAAGGCCGCACGCCTGCTGCCATATGACTTTAGGTGGGCTCGTACTTCGGGCAGCATTTGCTCGTATATGCCTTTCGCAGCTTCGTAAATACCTCTATGCACAGGCACACCCAAACCCTGAATGTTGAGAAATTCCATCATATACATAATCATCACATTCTCCACAATCATCATAAAACTAAAGGATGGATCACAACATCAATGCCATTAAATGCTTACCTCAAACTCAATAGGCTCGAACAGAAGATTGGCTTGCCAAGATGCCAGTGACTCAGATCCCTGTTTATCAGACATGGCACGACATCACGAACCAATAAAAAAGGCCAATATGCCTATCAAACAATCAAGATTGTGAAGTCGTTGAGTTACCCCTTAGTTCCCATACCATTAATTGAAATTGTACCTACATACAGTTACACTAGCACACATATCGACTAGTTCAGAACCAATACCTGAATCACGAAGTATCTTGTGCAGTCATCATCATCACATATAAACCACTCGCAGGGGGACGAGCCAGTTGAACTCAAATCATCTGCAACAGCTTGTTTCACTTCTTCTTTTGCGGCAACCACAGCTGTCACCGAGTCTGTCGTTGCCATAAGAGAAGCCACCTCTGAGTCCATCATATTGTCGCTGCATCTGGTGTCGCAATTGGACCTATCTTTGTCCATTTCAACTTTTGTGGAACTAAAAGGAAGAATGTGCTTTGCATGAGAGTGCAAATAGGAAGCAGCATTGGCAGCTATTTGATAAGCTGTTGAGGCATTTATAGGATGCCCATCATTCTTGCCTTCCTCCCATTCAGTCGCTCCTGGTTCCTCCTTCGAAGTCTCCTTTTCTTCTTCCCGAACTTCATCTGGTGCCTGAGTTTCCTTAGCCAACTCTCTTTTTGCCACCGAAGAAGTTACTAGCTTAAGGGCCCGATATTTCATCAAATTTCCTGGCTAAAAGACCCAAACAAGAAAACAGAAATGAACAGAGTTCATACATGGTAAAGTTGCATACTTTTGAATTATGATAACATAAACCACAGGCACAAACAGCAGAATTCACCATGAATGTGAAGGAAAACCTCGAACAAGCTCTTAAAACAGGACGCATTTCACCTCGATCGAGCCATGAATATCAATACATCAGAACATGCAAAAACCTTGAGGACTAGACCAGTCAGACTAAGTAAAGAGAAAGATCGTAATCAGGAAGGAAAGACGAAAATGACTTGCTTCCACCATTACCAAAAACAAAGGACTCAATTACTCCAGCCCAATAATGGAAGAACAGAAGCAGTAAACAACCAAACAATCAGTCTGGAATCTCACAAGACAACTAATCAAATGAAAAGCAATCCCTCATTAAGAATGTCAGATTAATCTGTTTACCTTGATCTTGGGTATGCAATACGCCAAGTTCCCCAAATACGACATTTGAGCATACAGCTTAGCCTCGGCGAGGGAAGCTCTGCGAAGCAATCTGGAAAACGAATCCCTGTCGAATTCAATCTCGTCTGCTCCATCCTCAGCAACGCAGCAGAGCTCCTCGTCGTCGTCTTCTTCCTCCTCCGTCCCATCGTTGGCGGAGTTACCGACGCCGCTGACGTCAATTTCATTTTCGTCGCCCTTCGCCTTCGCCTCCGACTCCCCTTCCTTCCAAAGAGACCTCACATGCAAAATCTTCATAACCCAGCTTTGATCCCGCCCCTCAATCGCCCCGCCATAGTCGCCGCTGCCCGCCTCGACATTATCGACGACAACAACGGCTTCGCCGCAGCCACCGCCATCCATGGCCACCGTCCCAGTATGCCTGCCGCTGCATCTCTGGCCTCCTCCCGGCCACCAGGACTGCAGAGGGTACCGAAACGAGAACTTGGACGACGGCGGCGGCGAAGAATTAGATTTGTGATCCCTGCTCGCAGGGCTCATGTGGGTCGCGTTCGCCCGTACTTGTCCCAGAGAGCCGGCAACGGAGATCGACGGCGGCATGCCGTGGATCCCTGATTTCAAGCACAAGCCGTCCATTCTCTTTTGGGAAAATTTCGTTCCAGGGATCGAATCAAAAGATGTAAAATTAAGGGAACAAAAGATCGAAATGTGAGCCCGCGCTCTTCTGGGATTCCGCAGGATCGCTTCGGATGATCGAAGCTAGCAGAAAGGAAATGGAGCGCGACTGATTCGAAAGCAGACCAGCGAAGAAGAAAGAGGGTCGGCGGAGCGATGCCGGGAAAATATACAAATGGGCCACCAAACCTGCTTCGGTCTTGGTTATTTTTTTCCCGGACCAACCTTCTCATGTATATAAGGAGGAGTTACGAAATTGATGGCTGCCTGACTCGACACTCGAGTCGACAGGCAACACGGCTACGGCGTTTCCACGGTAAAGCGTAGGTGTCAATCGGTAGGTTGAGGTGGGTTTGGGTCCGGTTTGGTCCTCCGGTTACCGGTTAGTTGGGTTTATGGTCTATCTTGTCATGGGTTATTGGGTTGTAAGTCAATTGGCGTTACGGATCATCAAGTCACAGGCCAATCATCTAATGGATTAATCGGGTTATGGATCAATTAGGTTGTGAGTAGATCGTACGAGTAGATCAAATCATGGTCAAGAGGGTTACGGATGGATCGGGTTACTGACTCTTCGAGTCATCCATCGAGTTAATTAATTTCTATTAGTAATTAATCATATGATAATTTAAGACAGACGAATTTTTTTGGGGAGGTTGCGCCAGCGGTGGGACAAGAGGGAGGTTTGGGCGGTGGCTTTGAGGTTGAACTCGACTGCAATGAGGATGGCGTCGGGGAGGGTGCTGAGCCTGTCGGGTTCAACTGTTGTTTTGAGCTTCTTTATTTCCGCCGTCAATTTTCTGGGTTGGATAATCTAACAATCAGGTTGTATAGAATTAGGATTTTTTGTTGTACTGTCCGGTTCAATTGGGTTTGATCATTAAATATTTTATTAGTATTTCAAGTGATTTGGCGTGCTGACGGGACGAAACTAACGGTTTTTTGGAAAGAGATGGACGGAATGTCCATTTTGTTATTCTCTCAAACGTATATTATTGAAACATGCAAAATAAAAGGTTAGTGATCATTTCATACAAAGTGAATAGATTTGTGACCTTTTATGCTAATTGCCCAGCAAGAAATTGGTCTGAAGTCTTTCATGTACAATGCACTTTGTACATTCACCACTAAAGTGAAAACTGTATTATTTAGGCATAATTCATATTCGAAAAAAGTGAAGTACAATTTTCTCAACTAATTCTCCTATTAAATCCCAAATTGCAGAAAATCAATCAAGACCAGGGGATTTGTCAGTACACAATTTCTTAAAACTCTGATATATTTCCTCTCTGGTAATTAAACATGGGCAATTTCTAACCTTCTTTGACATATTATTCTCATTTTTTTTTATCCAAGAAATATTAAGGAAGAAAACAACCTTATGAATAAAACTCCACCCATCCGCTTCGTACACCCAGAAAATCCCCAATTACTACAGCAATCAGACACAAACACCAAAAGACGCCAACTCTATAAAAACAAGGAACGAGATTTACGTTCAACTTTATGGGCAACCTAATCGACGACTTAAGAAATCGCCCTAAATCTACAAGAGTCCATCTGACATGATTTGTCTAATTGGAAATGACATGTAGTCCAGTGGCATCTACATTAGCGTAACGTCCATATTACGACGAAGTCACCTATTTTTTAATCGAAATGGTTAAAGTTGTCGAACAAGTTTAAAAAAATGAGATTATATATGTGTATTTTTAAAAAATTGGTTATTATAGTCACGAAGTAGATAATTGTGTGTTGTATTTTCTTAATATTATTATTTATATATAATAAAAAAAATATTATTAAGATATTCGGCAGCGGTACGGTGACGCCCTCCCCAAACTTCAAATTCAAAATTACAGTGGCAATTCTCGTTAATAACACCCAAATCCAGGCCCATTTAAATCGGGATTCTCCTTTACGTATATATTGAATAGCTCATTTCCCTTTCTACCCGTTCGATTGAAAAAACCCCAAACCCGCCTCCCCCTTTCCGATTGATCAGTCGATTCAGCTAGCCGGCGTCGAGAGATTGTCACCTCCAGCTGCCGCAGATCTAGCTTCGATTTTGATTTCGTTTCTGCGGAGCCGAGCACGAGGAGAAGCAACCGACCATGTCGTTGAGGCCGGGATCGAAGACGGAGGTGCGGCGGAACCGGTACAAGGTCGCAGTCGATGCGGAGGAAGGTAGGCGGAGGAGGGAGGATAACTTGGTGGAGATCCGGAAGAACAAGCGGGAAGAGAGCTTGCTGAAGAAGCGCAGGGAAGGCCTTCTTCAGGCCCTGCCGCAGCAGCAGCAACCGCTGCTCGATGCTGCTCATGACGGTTCCGCCGCGGCTGATAGGAAGGTAAAACGTAAAAAGTCATGGAAGTGCCCTATTTGAATTTCACCATGGAATTTCCGTTCGCCATTTCTGCTTTGATTTTGTACTCTTTCCACTTCCGTGGTATCTTTGTGACGCCTGAGGGTTAGGTTCAGTTTGGAATTCTCAAGCTTAATCTGGTTCGTTCTTGTTCTATGGAATGTCTTTCAACCTAGAGTTGCAGTGTTAAGAGTTAGTAAAGTGTAGTGTCAGCTGTCGAGGTGAATGAGGATGCTATTTTCTCGAAGGAAATGTTGGTTTATGTTCCAATGCTTTGGTGGTAGAATTTTTGTGTCTATGAAGTAGATGAATGTCACTGTTGCATATTGTGTAAGATAGCTGAATGCTCCGCGCTTCGGGGTTTATAGCGACTACTTTTAGTATCACAGTATATGGGTTTCATAGTTTATTAACTATTTTCTTCGATCTTAATTTTGATAGTTAGAAGTTCTTGCAACCGTTGCAGCAGCCAATGTTGTAAGTCATTTGGCTTTTCTTCCGCATAGTTTTCAGTTTTGAGTTCTTGAAATAATCTAGAAAATGAATGGCTTGGATTTCTTGGTATATATTGTGTTTAAGTTTGGCCAATGGAAGGCCTGATGCTGTTTCTTGTTTCATTGCAGCTAGAAAGTCTTCCAGTGATGATTGCAGGTGTTATGTCCGATGATAGGAATTCACAGCTAGATTCGACCACACAGTTCAGGAAGCTGTTGTCAATAGGTTAGCCTTTCTTATTTCTATTCAGTTTTTGACTTTTTCGTTTCTGTGGTCAGACATATCTTCGGCATATTTGATCCATTACTTTCCATTTTTTTGCATAGAACGTAGTCCACCAATAAATGAGGTTGTACAATCTGGTGTGGTTCCTCGATTTGTTGAGTTTCTTGCAAGAGATGATTTCCCCCAGCTTCAGGTTTGAATTTAGTATACATGGTTACGGGTTAATACTTTTCATTGGCATAAAAAGACATTTCAACTGATATCTGGTGCCAATGTTGCTAGTTTGAGGCAGCTTGGGCTCTTACAAATATTGCTTCTGGGACATCAGAAAACACCAAAGTTGTGATTGATCATGGGGCTGTGCCTATATTTGTTAGACTCTTGGGTTCTCCTGCTGACGATGTCAGGGAACAGGTACATGGTTTCCTTATGTTAGCTCCCAAAAGGTGTACCTTCAGAAACCTTTTATGTGTGTGTATTACTTCTTAGTTCTTAATGCATTGGTGCGTATGTCTTTTCTGTAATTTTAGGCTGTTTGGGCATTAGGTAATGTTGCTGGAGATTCACCCAGATGCCGTGATCTTGTGCTTGGTCATGGGGCATTGATGCCATTGCTTGCACAATTCAATGACCAAGCTAAGCTCTCTATGTTGAGGAATGCAACCTGGACACTATCAAATTTTTGCAGGGGCAAGCCACAACCTTTGTTTGACCAGGTTTATCTCTCAGATGGAAATTTGGGACTGCAGCATTATAGTACTACTTCAATTTTGCTAAAATATGTGCAATTACTTCAATGGACAGACGAAGCCTGCCTTGCCTGCTCTTGAACGTCTTATCCATTCCAATGATGAGGAAGTTCTGACAGATGCCTGTTGGGCTCTATCATATCTCTCAGATGGAACTAATGACAAAATCCAAACTGTTATTGAGGCTGGGGTATGCCCCCGGCTTGTTGAGCTTCTTCTGTAAGTATTAGTTTTATCTTCACAAATTGTCTTATCTTATGATTGTATTTATTCATTGAGCTTTTGGTAGTGATATGCTATTTACCTTTTTAGTCATCCATCTGCAACGGTGCTCATTCCTGCACTACGCACAGTTGGAAATATTGTGACTGGGGATGACATGCAAACTCAGGTATTGGTTTCCTGGTTATTTTGTCTCTTTGTCTTGCATTTATCATTTGGTGCAGGAATGTTATTGGATTTGCTTTTGGTGTATGCATGTCAGAAGTCTAAGTTCCATCATCCATTGTGGCTATATAGTTAATATGTACCTAGTGCTCATTTTTTTTTTAATGGGATTGACATAAATGATTTATATCATATCTTCAAGTCTTGCACTTCAACCTATTCAACCTGCTAAACAGCTGGTTTTGGAGAATCATTTGCATTGATACCTTTGTCTGATTCTAGCAAAACGAGATTATTTCTTTCTATGATCGAGGATGACAAGATGAAAGACTCATTATGGACGGTTGATGGTTTTGTATTGTGATTGCTAATTTAATTGGATATGGGTCAAAGCAAGCCTCCTTAAAATTGGCATTTTAAGTTTTTGCAAACTAAAGATTCTGTAGTAGCTTTACTTGCTTGGAAACTGGACCAGTGAGGACAAGAAATACTATGATCCTTAGGCCTTCTCTTTCTCATAAGTTCTTACAGTTGGTTCTTGGTTGGGTCTGGTGTTCTCTTCCATTGCATTGATCTTTCATATACCTGGTTCGGTTTTAATTGATAGCGAGATGCATGATGCACTTTTTTGCATTCTATGGTTATTGGTGTTACCCAACTGGTGCAAATGACTTTCATATTAGCCATTCCAGCATTTCATGTTTGCTCATTCACATGAGAATATATGATTCCTCTTTGCCATACCTTATCTCAGTGCATGATTGAGCACCAAGTGCTGCCTTGCCTTTTGAATCTCTTGAGCAATAATCATAAGAAAAGCATTAAGAAGGAAGCCTGCTGGACAATCTCCAACATCACAGCTGGAAACGTGAATCAGATACAGGTAAGTTATTAGGTTATCATTAGTTGAATGCTTTTTTACTTCTTTTCTTTCTGCGTGGTTTGTGACTCCTTTATGTAACTTACATGACAACTTGCAAATGAGAACAAGCAGTATAGCTAGGAAGCAGTATATTATGGAAACATAAATTCTTTTCCCACTTAAACTTTTGCTCCTTGTTTGACAATGCAAGGCTTGTTCCTCAATGCAGGCTGTTATTGAAGCTGGCATAATTAGCCCTCTCGTCCAACTACTTCAAAGTGCAGAGTTTGAGATTAAAAAGGAGGCTGCTTGGGCCATTTCCAATGCTACATCTGGTGGAACCCACGACCAGATCAAGTAGAATTCTTTTCAATGTGGATTCTATAATCTGGAATCACAATATTTCAGGTTATGTACTGACCTGTTTAGGGGTTTCTTTTGCTTCAATGGTGTAGATTCCTAGTGAGCCAGGGTTGCATTAAGCCACTATGTGATCTCCTAATCTGTCCCGACCCAAGAATCGTTACGGTCTGCTTGGAGGGTCTAGAAAACATTCTGAAGGTTGGGGAAGCTGACAAGAATTTAGGCAACTCTGGAGACGTAAATGTGTTCTCTCAACTCATCGATGATGCAGAAGGGTTAGAGAAGATTGAGAATCTGCAGACCCATGACAATAATGATATATATGAAAAGGCGGTGAAGCTTCTGGAGACATATTGGTTGGAGGAGGATGTTGACCCCGTCGCTCCTGGTGATCCAGCCCAAGGTGGATTCAATTTTGGAGGCAGCGAACCTCCCGTTCCCACAGGAGGATTCAACTTCAGTTAAAGGTATGTTGGACACTTCCTTTACATCACGGTCTCTGTCAGTGCGAGTTTAGATGCCGAGAAACTTGCTCTTACTCAACTCGAGCCTGCTTTTATTTGAGACCAAGTACATATGCAGCAGTCTATAGTGGGGTTCATTATAATACCCAGATGCCATATTTCTGTGTAATGAATTTGCGCGAGAGGCGACATTGTTCTCTCAGTTGTCCTTTTAACAAGCATCTCTTCATCGTATATTTGACATATTATTTGATGCTATGCAGATCATTAGGATGTGGGTGGAATGAAGCCGAGTGTCCTGTTTGTACTGAAGGCAGATAGATGTTTTTCGGTGGCAAGCACAGTCCCTTCCCCTGGGTAGTGAAAATACAAAACAACGTTAGCGCGGTTCTGGTTGAAAGAATGCGTAGTGTCGGGGGGTTGTTCAGTCGTCGCAAGCAGGTTTGTTTGTATCCCACAACTGGTTTTGTTGCTACCCCAATTTCGATCGGACATTTTGCTGTTTTTAACATCATACAATGTAGAGCCTTGTTGAGCTCTCTTGTTTCACCCCCAGCTTCCACCTACTGTTGTTTTAGTTTTAGGAAAATTCATACGGTTGAAATTTGGGTTTTTGCTTGCCCATCATTTGTTATGGTCTCCTGTCTGTGAGTGAGTGAGTGATAGAGAGGAATGAGTAGTGCATCATACATGTACTACTCTTGCGATTTGGATACTACTGTGATACAGTAATTCCTTCCAGTTGTGGCGTCATACACAGTAATTGTGACTTCATTTCATGGGACAAAAACTATTGGCCACGCTGGCCTGGAGTGGAAAATGTTAAAAGCCGTAATATATGCATAGTCCATGAAACCGTATCGTACCAGTGGTTCAACCATGAAATATCAGTATTGGAGGCTAAACCGATACACGGTATTTAACGATACTAACGGTTGAACTACGGTGTAATTCAAAATTTTCCTACTTTTGATTTATACAAAGTTACATACACACACCTAATGTGGCATGCATCTTGAAACCTTGTGGCTGTGGCACAAACGGTTGTCGGTGGTCGTTTTTCCATTTTGTATTCTTTTTTGATTAAGTTTGTGTTATTTATATAATTCGTATGTTTTATATTATTTATAAATCTGTTTATATATTTTGTCGCAATCACAAGGGAAAAAAAGAGATAAGCACCTTCCTTTCACCGACACTTACTCCTTTCCCTTTTGCCTCCCTCCCCATCAAAACGCGATTACATAACGTGACAATACACTCCACTTGTTGGCTGTTGCTATCTAAATATTTGAATCCTGCAGGTTCTATTAATAATTCTCACGTTAATGCTGCATATACATTATATTACATTTTTTTCTATGTTTTATTATATATGGAATATGCTACCTTATATATTTGGTTTCGTGGTATTATTACTATTTTTGAACATGGAGATCTCTTATTCGAATTTCTTAAATAATACATAACTATAAAACAAATTTATATCACTCTTATAAGAAAATAATATATACATGCGTTCATACATAGATGTACTTTGATACATGTAGCAAATCAGAAAGGACGGTTATTATATTGTTAATTATATCGATCTTATGATTTGGTTTCATCTATTAGAAATGAGATTATAGTATCATGTGTCAAACTACGATTAGTTAATGATCTAAAAGCCAAACTCACAAGGCGTAGTTAATAGGCGTATGGTAGCTTGAACCTATATATAAATGTTTTTCATCCCAATTAATATGGACTATTTATAGAGGAGCTACACATGCTTTTAGACATTGAAAATCACATATAAATTCTTTGTAAGTACCAAAAATTCTTATATAAAATGGCTTAGATTCCAATACAAAACTCATTTTAAAAGTAGTTATACAAAATTAGATATAATTGTTTTTTTTATGAATAGATATAATGGTTTTAATTAGGGAAACAAATATTTTTTTATGAATTAGGGAAACAAATACCTTATGGTCCATATCGAAAATGGACAAGGAGGAAAAACATGGCAAATTTTTGGGGATGGTGCAAATTTTCAGACGTGCTCGTGAGTTGGCTTTTGTGCCCTAAGGAAACTTATTGTATGCTTTAGATTTTTTTATATGTTTTTTATAAATTTATGGTCTGCTTTATAAGATTTATAATATGTTTTTATAAATTTAGTAGCGTGGTGAGTTCTAGTATGTTTTATAAGCTTTCTGATTTACTTTATATTATTTGTGATGTGATTTGTTGTGATTAAGGTCCGTGTTTTGTGGCCTACTTCATGACACATGTGGTGAGCAGTGAGACGTAGTTAATGATAACCAACACATATGTGTGTCCCCATTTATTTTCAATAATGACAAGCGTGCACATCTCTTTACAAATTCGGATTGATTATGATCAATACGTTGAAATAAAATAAAATAAATCATTAAAACAAAATGTTCATATTGATCGAAGTAAGTGTTTGCACCATACCGAAAAATATGGTGTTACCACCTTAGTTGGTCCTCTAAACCTAGTTTTTATGTGAATAATCTGTTTTTTTAATATGAGAATTTGTACGGATAATTTAAACAAACAGACAGGAATAAAACTCTCGGTTAGGCGGATAGTAGATATATATTTACATGATTATCAAATAATAAAATATTTCCGTTGTTGTTAGCAAAAATGACAACTAGGGGCATACTCGTCAAAATATACATGACGAGCCCAAAAGAAGGAGGGATAAACGACGAGGAAAGAGTTTTGTTTGTTTACAGCTGCCAATTATATATATTTAAATTTAAAATAAAAACATAGAATCCTACATGATAATTGATGGTTCGGGTGTATTGTGTCCAGCGGTTTGGTTTGGTCTGATCATATTGAATTGATATTTGGATTGGATCATACTTTGATCAAGTACAATATCATAGGGTTCTTAATTTTATGAATTTTATAAGTATTAATGAAAATATAGATTGAAGTGAAATGTGGATCATACATAATCGAATCGAATGCAATGATGATTTTGTTCTTTTTCTATTATCAAATCGTGATTCATTATTTTAGAAACCCTATCGTAACGGCTGGTTGGACCCGAAAAAATATCGATACCGAACTTCAAATAGTAGGCAATTTGAATAATATGAAATGATTGAACCACAATTTTAATACATATTGTACAATTTCACATGATTAGATCTGAACCGGTCCGGACCAATGCACACCCTAACCCAGCTGTAGATATATATTGATGCATAAATAAATAAAGGAAAATAAGGAGAAAAAGAGGTTTATTTTTCATAAATACTTTTTGGTCCTAAATTGTAGCTTTTAGTTTTGGCCGGGGATTTCTATGGTGGGAAAAAAAAACGCTACCCTAACTGAAAAACTAAAGAACGGAAAAACGAAGCCCAAAATTTCATCTTCTTCGTCGGTTCTTCTCCTTCATTCCTTCTCCTTCTTCCACCGTTTCTTTCTCTCTCCCTCTCGACTGTTCTGCTTCTTCCAATTCTTGAGCTCAATTGACCAGAGAGGAGAGAGAGAGAGAGAGGGGGGAGGTTAGTAGAGTGTGCACAGACGGCGCACATTAGCGCCGGGGCCCTAATTCTGCGCCCTGGTTCGGGTTTGTTTGGTGGTACTATTTCCTTTTCCCTTTCCCCCTTTCCCTTTTCCAATGGATTCCTCCTCAGCTTGGCTTTGAGAAAGAGCAAGACATCTGATTCCAGCTCCACCTCCCCCTTCGCTTTTGGGGGCAGGGAGGGAGGGATTGATTTCACGGCATTTTTTTTGTTTCTTCTCCTCCCGCAATTTGGAGCGGCGGCGGCGGTGACAGTGGCGGTGGCGGTGGTTTCGAATCTGGCGGACCTCAAAGGAACCCTAGCGTTCCTTCTCCAATCCTCTTTTCTGTCCGTCTTGGCAGATCGATTCGATTTCAAGTCGAAGAAGAAGAAGAGGAGGAGAGGGATTCACCATCTGACGAAGATGCTCTGGATTATGCGCTTCTCTGGCTTCATCTCCGCCGCAATGGTCATGATTATCCTCTCTCCTTCCTTGCAGTCTTTCCCTCCGGCGGAAGCCATCCGATCTTCTCACCTCGATCCCTACCTCCGGTTCCCCGTGCCCTCCGATTCGCACCGACGGTTCTCTTTCCGGAAGGCGCCGGTATTCCGCAATGCCGCTGAATGTAGGTCCTCCGACCGGAGGGAAACCGGCGTCTGCGACCCTTCCTTGGTCCACGTCGCGATTACTCTCGACGTCGAGTACCTCCGCGGCTCCATGGCCGCGGTCCATTCCATCCTGCAGCACTCCATGTGTCCCGAGAGCGTCTTCTTCCATTTCCTGGTGTCGGAGACCGATCTGGAAACCCTAGTGCGGTCGACGTTCCCCAAATTGAAGTTCAAGGTGTATTACTTCGATCCGGAGATCGTGCGGAGCCTGATCTCGACGTCGGTGAGGCAGGCGCTGGAGCAGCCGCTCAATTACGCGAGGAATTACCTGGCCGATCTGCTGGAGCCCTGCGTCCGCCGGGTCATCTACCTCGACTCAGATTTGGTGGTCGTCGACGACATTGCCAAGCTGTGGACGACGAGCCTGGGCGCGAAGACGATCGGCGCGCCGGAGTACTGCCACACAAACTTCAGCAAGTACTTCACGGCGAGGTTCTGGTCGGAGCGGCGGTACGCGGGGACGTTCGAGGGCAGGAAGCCGTGCTACTTCAACACGGGGGTGATGGTGATAGATCTGGCGAAGTGGAGGCGGGTCGGGTACACGAAGCGGATAGAGAGGTGGATGGAGATTCAGAGGAACGACAGAATCTACGAGCTGGGGTCCCTGCCTCCGTTCTTGCTGGTGTTCGCCGGGCAAGTGGCCCCGATCGAGCACCGGTGGAACCAGCACGGATTGGGCGGCGACAACGTCCGGGGAAGCTGCCGGGATCTCCACCCGGGTCCGGTCAGCCTCCTGCATTGGTCCGGCAGCGGGAAGCCATGGAGCAGGCTCGATTCGCGGCGGCCGTGCCCACTGGATGCGCTCTGGGCGCCATACGACCTGTACGGACACTCACATTGAATCAGGCAGCCCAGCCACCGTCCGCCGGTAAATTCCGCCCTCCCAAAGAACACTGTTTCTCTCTTCTCATTTTTGCATTTGTTTATGCTCTGCTTTCACAATTTTTTTTTCCTTTTTGCTTCTTGTTCTTCTTTTTCGGTGCTTATCTTCTCTTCTGCAACTTATTCCTCCTCCTCCCACCATTTTACTGTGCTGCTCCACTCATTGTTAGTTTTGGTTTGCCGACTGATTCTCAGGCCATTTGTAATGTATTCTATTTTATTGTTCTTGGCTCTGAAAATAAGGACACAGAAGGAAAAAGAAAAGAGAAAAAAAGAAGGGTAGAAGCTTCAGTTTCTTATCTTGTAGATTGGATTGAGGTTCTAGAGAAGGAACAGCGGCCACCATTGCTTGTGTTTAGACTATGAATGATGAAAAGTAGAAGAAGCAATCACCATTATTAACCAGTTGAAGCAATTTCTCCTTAGCTATATCTGCAATGTGGTTCTGAGAGCTGTGTTTGTGTGTTTTTAACTTTGATGTTGACTCCAAAATCTGAATCCTTAGTGATAGCCCAAGGGGGGGATTGAATGTTAGCTATCTGCACCCATTATTAATTCTGATTGAGCTTTGCTAGCTATAACTAGACTCTTAAGTTTGAACTCATACCCAGAATGTGTTGGATGTCAAGTCAAGTCGTGATCTCGGGTGTGAGCTATAAATGAAGGATTGTGTGAACTGATCTCTGTGGTTGATGGAATGTCCCCTAGATGTGTCTGTCTCTTTCGGGATGTTGCTATCTACAATGACAATTTTCCTATGACAGTTTGTTTGGATGGTGTCTGAGAGGCATGGTTAATTGAAGTTAAGAGTGGGGTTAACCTGTTTCTTTTGGTAATTAAGCAGCAAGCAGACTAGGTGAAAGGGGTTAGCCTGTTCCTGTGGGTTTGGAGAAGTTAGTTTTCCAATATTCTTGGGGGTATTGTGGATGATGGATGCTGGTGCGGGGGGAGCAGCAGTAGCATATGCTGGGACTGTCAGCTTAGCGAAATCGGCTGGAGCCCGTCTCTAACAATGCTGCTGCTGCTGCTGCACATGAGAAGAGATGAAATGTTTGATGGCTAGAACGAGTGAGGGACTGTGGCCTAGCTTGTCCGGTGAAGTTAGAGTAGCCTAATTGTGAATTGCGATGTTTGGCTTTCATCATTTTCTTGTTTATCGAACGAGGGAAGGGACTAGGGAGTAGTCGTGTGTGTTTGTTTGTCTGTTTGTTTGTTACCTTGTTACCAAGCAAAGAGGCAGAAGGGAGAATGTTTTAAGCTGGCTGGCTGGGCTCATGATTTTGGCGTCTCCCCTCCTCCTTCCTTACTTTCTGTAGCATTAGCCACCTCCCTCCCCCGCGGCATAATATCGTTTTCGTTTTATTTTTGTATTAGCTCTTTTGCAGTTTTGCTTCTCTTTTCCTTTATCGTAGGAATGAAATTTATTCATCAATTCCCTTTTTATTTCTAGGTTATTCAACTATACATAAACTTCGTTTTATTCAAACGAGAAGTGGTGTTTGAAGAGTGGAAAAAGCATGTGAGATCGTGTGCAACTAATTCCTACCCATATAATTCATCAACAATTTGTGATTCCAACAAAAAAAGAGAAAATAAAACAGGCAATCATCAACTATGTATGCATGTATTATCATTACTTGTTTATGTAGAAACACATGTACAGTGAGCGAAGATTGAAAAACCATGAGATCCAGTTTTCTCAACTACTTTCTGATCACTATCCACATTAAAAATATGCCTAATTTTATAGAGGAGGAGACACTGCCATCCCATGCCTTGCCTACTACTTTCAGGAAAGAAAAAAAAAAAAAATTAACTGATCTACTTAATTATTGAAAAACCAAAAAAAATTTATACTTGGAGACATTCGTTTTGCGACGCCAAATCCCGCCTCCATAGATACCCAGCAAACCCTAGGAGCATTTAATACAAACTTTACAGCCCTGTCGGTGACCACCAAGGGGGTAACGGAGAAGTGGCAACCCCCCGAAGATTGTTTGAAGATCTCCTTGATGTAGGCGATTCTGACTCTAGGTGTTCGTCTGGCCTGGTTGTTCGTGGCTCAGACGAGCATGTCGTGTTGGCATTTGGGACCCTACACTAAGGAGTGTCTGATCCCTACCTAGCAGAACTGCTGGCCGCCAAAGATGTCATTTCGCTTGTTGTCTATAGAAACTTGCCCCGTTCAATCGTCAAAGGTGATTCTGAGGTGGTCTTTCAACAGTTTCGCTAAGGAGTTACGTTAGTTTCTCTAAGTGGACATGTTCTTCGGGTTTGTCTTCAGTTGTTTGTCTCTGCTTCTATCTGTCTAGATTTTAGGGTGGTTCCTCGAACTGCGAACACCGGTGCCCATAGAGTGGCACGTAAAGCACGATTATCTCCTTTAATGGTAGTGTCCTTGGATTTTGTATGGTGGCTTCATCAAGGTATTGCTTTGGCAGGGTTCCTACTTCCTAGATAGTTCTTTGATTGTATCACTTCTTTTCTCTTGTTATTACTTGGGGGAAAAACATAGTTAAGATTAAGTCTGCTTTCTTCCTTTTCTCCACGCCGGGCTCAAACTTGTCCTTCCTTTCCTGGCTGGGTCGGCCCTCTTTCTCTATGTAATCACGAGAAATCGACACAATTCTATTCAAACTTTCGTACACATCGATTGAACTTAATTGGATTGCACCCTAATACTCTGCCAAGGTCCAAGAAAAGGGATAGATAGATATAAAATGATATCACTGTATCGTATTAAAACACATGCTCCACCGTTTGTGCAGACCCTCGTCAATTCCTTTGAGTTTCGATCTTGCGACCGTACTCCCCAAACAGAGTGTTTCACGTGTTAGCTGGGACCCTGATCTGTATAGACCAAAAGAGAACACTCATTAAAATCAACTACAAATCAAGAACCCATCCTATAGACTAAAGTGACCTCACCAAGGAGTTGAGGAATTTAGCTCACAAAGGAGAGAGGAGAAAACAAAGATGAACATGGAAGAATCTTCATGAGGATGATCTTCTTCTCTTTAATCTTCTCTTTGCCCAAATTGTCAGCTCTAAAAGTGAGTTTCCAAGGGCAATACTCTCTTTGTTGCTCTCAAAATGGTGCTCTCTCTCCAAGAAATATGCTATGTATTTCAATCTCTCTCTTCAAAGTGTATTTCAACTATTTTATTTACCTCTTTGGAGAGTGTTTCAACATTGGAAATACTCCCAGCCTCTTGTTGGTTGGGTTTCTAAAAAATAATTGTATCATCTGCGAAAAAGACAGTGATATCAAATATCTAGGATTGAGTTTAGTACATGTTAAACAATCGTCACCAACCGCCTTCTCAATTAAAAAAAAAAAGTTAGAGCAATAGACATCAAAATGAAAAGAAAGGGACAAAGAGAGTCTGCTTGAAGGATGCCACAAGATGGGTAGAAGGACTATGCGCCCTCCCCATTTAACATAATGGATAATTTGACTAAGCGAATGCAAGCTCTGACCCACTTCACCATCAATTGTTGAACCCATAATTACTTAGGACTTAGGAGGGTTTTCAGACAATCCCAATCAATCATGGTATAAGCCTTTCTCATATCCAATTTAAGCATCATATCTCTGATAGATTTTCACGACAGAATTTCGCCATTTTTCCATCATTTTTGATGAAAAACCACCGCCTCGTCGAATTATGCTCTCCAAGAAGCCGAGCACAACACACGATCCAACCTAACTTTTATTATATTTTGACTCGTACATTCAAAAATAAATAATGACTTTACAATAATCCAATTATCTCCTCAAATACTCCAAAAGAGGGTTTATGTCCTCCGCATCTCAATACTAGAATCCCGACATGTAGAAGGGTGCCTTCTGCGTAGGGATGACAATGGGTCGGGTTGGGGCGAGTTTTGTCAAACCTAAACCCATGGGTTTATCCGCAAAATAAATTCGGGGTAAAACCCGTTGGGTTTGAAAACTCAAACCCAACCCAACCCGCTGGGTATCCACGGGTTCATGGGTACACGTGGGTTTTTGTGGTAAAAAATTTACAATAACAAGTTTCTTTCAAAATAAAAGTTTAACATCAACTTTCTCATACAAATTATTCATACAAAAAAACACTAATCTAGAGCATACAAGCAAACCGCAAATGATAAATACAAATTGTTTAAAATTAAAGATAAACATCTATAAACAATAAGATTAATTGAAATTTTCTTCCTCGTCAACTAAGTTTCTTCACTCTCCACTTCATAATATCAACTTAATTCTAAACAATTAGAAAGAACAAATTATACATGTCTCCACAAACATAAAGAATATTAGTTGTTTAAGGAAGATATATTATTTAGAATATTAAATATACCGGGAAAGTAATTATATGTGTGTGGGCGGGTACCCATGAGACGGGTTTACCTAAACCCAAACTCAACCCGACCCGATCAACGGCTGAATATCCGTGGGTTCGGATTTTATTGCCATCTCTACTTCTGCGTAGATCGTCCCTTCACCTCTGGGCCTGAAACTCCCAATTTTCTTGTTAGCGGGCCAAGGTCCGGCCCATTTGCTTTACCAATCAAATTCCGAAACCACAAAGGACAAACATACCACAAACAAAACGGATGTAAAACAACAAAAAAGACGAAATTAACCCCACAAGGGGCTTCAAAACCCGACAGAACTCAGGGGCAAAAGAGAGAAATTCACAGGTCCCTTTCCAGTGGTCGTTTGCCGGTGGGAGCCAAGGTAAATACGCGGGAGGAGAGGAGAGGCTCTCAAGAGAAAGAGGGGAAGCTAAGGGGAAAAGGGAGAAATCGTGTCGATTAAGAATTCATCCGCCACCGCCTCGCTGCGCCGTCTGTTGTCTATCCCCGTCGACGCGTTTTCCGTCAGCTCGCTCGGTCGCTCTATGTTTGGTTGCGGCAACGAACTGGTTAGCTATGCTTTAAGCCAGTAAAACTGAAATACGAAAAGGACGGCGAGGCCAACGACGGAGAGGAGATTCGTGAATCCGGTGGTTGTATTGGGATTAATTCGTGGTTGTGAGATCATCAGGTGAACTGGAGTGATGGAAGACGATAAGTGGAGCATCGGCACGTCTACTACTTCATCTAGGGCTTATCAGCAGGATTCTAAATTTTTATCTGGTAAGGCGTTTCGATAAATTTTTTGCCTTCTAGGTTTTTTTTTTACAGTGATTTAGGTTGTGTTTGATTGACGATCGTCTGGGGATGATTGTTCCTGTGGTGGGTTGTGTTTTTAGAAGTAATCTGACTTCTGGGTGGTGTTTGGCTTCCGCGAAATATCAGATCTTTGCATTGATTTTGAATCGCTAGAAGACACGGATGATCACTTGCTGGCGGATTTTCCCTGCCCGTATTGCGAAGAGGACTATGATTTGGTTGAATTGTGCTGCCATATAGATGATGAACATCCGTACGAACCCAAGTCAGAGGTAACTCTCTTGTTCTGTTGTTTCTATGGCAGGCTCAATTAGCTTCCCTTTATGAAATTGAGATTAGGGCTGGATTTTTAATCCAGCTAGTTATTCATGTCCATTGCAGTTCATGTCCTCTAAAACTTATATCTCTTGGTTACTCGTTTTCTTATGAACTTTTACACTGGGTTGTATTATTCATACTATCAATCCTTAGCATATATGTGGGATCAACCTGAATTTAGCTCTTTTGATCAAGACAATTGCGCTTTCTGCTGACAGTTCGGAAAATTTTGTGTGGAACAAGCAGTGGCTCAAGAAGAGAGTGAAAGGAATTGTATTATAATTTCTGAACTGTACTTAGTTGACATGAATCACCGTGCCTGATTAAACTCCTTGCTTCTATTATTTTCTTCCTTTATCTGCAAGTTTCTGACAATGAGTAATGTTCCCATTTTCAGATGTGCCCTGTTTGCGGTCTAACCGATGCTATGGACATGGTTGCCCACATAACATCACAGCATGGAGACATGATTAAGATATCCTTCCATATTTGATTTAAAGACTTAAGGATATACTGTATTTCAGTGTATTATCTGAGACCAGTGGTTATGGCTTCCTTTGTTAACCACAGCAAACCATATGCTCTACCCTTTTGGATTCCTTAACCTAGGCTCACAGTTTACAGAAGTTGAAGCGTCGAAAAGGGGATTTACGGTCATCACTGTCCTCCCTGAAGAGAGAAGCAGAAGATGATTACTTGCAATCCTTGTTTTCTCGGTCTTCAGCTGCTGTGCTTCCCCCAACAGATCCATTACTGTCATTCCTTCACCACGTGCCCTCTCTGGACAAAGCAGACAGTGCACAGTCTTTTCTATCAACTGAAGTAGATGCCGGGAAGCAGCAGCCAGTTGATATAAAAACTGAAAGGTTAGTTTGTCTTTTCTATCAACTCAAGTAAATGACGCTTTTTCAATTCTAACTGTTGGTTTCTGGTGAACTGAACCGAAGATACATAGTTAAGGGGAAATATGTATATATAGAATCGTGAGGGGTGGCCTAGTACTGAGTTTTCAAGTATCCCCATCTGTTCTTTTCTGGAGAAAGAACAGACTTTTGTTTAAGAATGCTGAACTTAGTTTCTGTATAACAAGTGTATGTGACTGACTTTTGTTCAAGATAGGTGGGGGAAGGAGAAAAGCTCCCATGAGATGACGATAGGAGCAATCTTTTATATGAACTTTTCCTTTCCCATTTATCAATGGCCGCAAACCCCTAACTTTCCTATGTGTCATCTACAAGCTTTTCATACCCAACTTTCCTCTGAATCTGTGTTCTTATGCGGGCACACTGATTGTCTTCTATATGGATGCAGTGTTTCTTCCCCTCCTCTGTCAGACAAGGAACATACAGAGAAGACACAGAGAAGCCAGTTTGTACAGGGGCTGCTGTTGTCCACCATGCTTGATGATGACTCGTGAGTGATAGAGTCTATGCCATTGTCATTTGCGGCGGACCGGGGATGGTTCGCTTGCCTGTGTTTGAGCATCAGTGCGTTCAATGAAGATCTCTTCTATTTTCCCCTTGTTATTTTTTCCCTGATGGCTGCAACTTGTTAGGAATAAGTTAGTATTTGTATCCAGTAAGTTTGGAAATTGTACTCCAGAACGTATTTATCAATGCAATTGGTTGGAGAAACAAACTTGTGTTGGATTCAAGTAGATAAGAAATTGGTTAGTGCCTCTACATTGATCTAATTGGGTTCGAAATGTACAGATTTCTTCATTTTATGTCCGGTAAACGACACATTTGGTCACTGAGATTATTAAATTGTGTCATGTTTAGTCACTAGAAAAAATTAATATCAATTTTGGTCACTCGAATTACCGAAACTGGTCAAATTTAGTCACTCTCCCGTCAGTTTCCGTCCAACTCCATTAATGTAGTTGGACGGAAACTTTTGGGAGAGTGACTAAATGTGACATGTTTCAGTAATACGAGTGACTAAATGTGACATTTTTCAATAATTCGAGTGACCGGAGTTGGACAGAGGCTACAGAAGAGTGACCAAATGTGACCTGTGTCAGTAATTCGAGTGACCAAAATTGATATTAAATTTTTCTAGTGACTAAATATGACACGATTTAGTAATCTCAGTGACCAAATGTGTCATTTACCTTTTATGTCCTGTTCAATTTGGCACATGACAGGGCATCTAGTTTGAGACTTTGAGTTGAAGACTTATCAATTAGAATATATGACTATTATCATTCATTCATTCTTAGCACAATATAAGCCTAAAGTATTTTCAATCATAATTAGATTGCATAATAACAACTAAATTCCCTGTAACCAAAGAGTAAACATCACCAAAACACCGTCAAAAGAACAAGGGCCCTCTATGACCGGGAAAATAATTAACCGGCACCGGAATCGCGTCAAGACCCATAAGCTTCGGTACAACTCCCGGTTTGCACCACACCACATTCCCACCACCGCCGTTGCATCCACTTCTCCTAGGCGGCTGATCACGGTGGCAGTCCCGATTTCGATCGACGAAATTCGCGAGCCTTTTGGGGTCGGGGCGGCGGCGGCGGAGTGGCTCGTCGTCGTTGAGGAAAGAGGAGCGGTACATGGCGTCCTTGCCGTCGAGGGAGAAGCGGGGCGGGTACTGGTTCAGTGCGTTTCGGGCGGATCTCAGCACCCGATCCGAACTCGTGTTGACGCACGACATCCTTCTAGTCACCGCCGCTTTCCTGGCCGCCGCTGCCGCCTCCTCCAGTTCCAGCTGCATAATCATCTCCTCCAGTGTCCGGTTTGTTGAGGCTCGGCCCGCCGCTGGCGACGATGGCGGGCGCTGCTGCCAAGCCGGAACCGCTGAATAACAAGATAACAACAACCATATTATCACAATACTCCGTTTAATACGCATATATTTACAGACAGGTGCGTTTACTAAACTTGTCGTATCCATTTGATGACTCGTGTACTAAAACTACTTATCCGCGTACCGTATTTTACAAACTATGAATTACAGCAGGTCAACCAAATCGTACCTAATCCGTTAATCATATTGTCGACACACGGAATCTCGGCCTCATCCTCCTCCTCGTCGTCGCCGTCGTGAAGGCGGCTGCGGCAGCGGCGGTGGTTGATGGTGCAGGAGCTCCTGTTGTTGAAGAGGAAGACTTGGTCGTTTCGAGGTGTAGAGGTAGAGGCATCCCCCTGGCACAAATTCCTGAGCCGTCTTTTCATCCTGGCTCCGAAAGAAAGACCTCCCGCTTCTTCTTCCACGTACGAATAGGCGCTCCTCCTCATTTGTTTGTGTTGTGCAGCGTGATTGTGAAACTGTATCGTACCGGCGAATCAATAATAAAACCAGTAGCTAGATATGGTTGTATCGTTACGTACGTGACACCAACGAGTAGAGAAAGCGGTATAATAATTAAGACGTGACATTTGATTTGATCGATCGATCGATAATAATAACTAGGTGCGCGCTGTTAATGAATGTGGCGCGGGAGCCATTATCTCATCCGCTCACGAGTTTCATTCCACCATACCTGCAACTACGACTGCAACATCTTCACGTGGCCGGCGTCTCCCTTCTTTAAGTTTGCCCTCCATTCCTGGGTATCTTCATTCTTCCCTTTTTTTCTGGATCTTGTACGTGGACTTTAATACACTATTCAACATCATTTTTGGTGCTATTCGGGTAGGAATCCTGTGATACGTGCTATTCGGGTAGGAAAAAAAGAAAAAAAACAACGGAAAGGTTAATACCACCACTTGCTCTTGATTATTAGCAGGACACCTTTCCTTAGCCTTTGTAGCTCTTTGCTTTTAACCAACATATAAATTCAGGAAAGAAAAAAATAAAGAAATCTTATTACAGCTACCCCAAAAGATGAGGGGCGTCTGACTGTAAGTTCAAAGTTTACAAATAGAGAATAGTATTGGTAACTGGTAATACAATGAATATACAGAAGAGAGACACCACTCTAAACCCAAACTCGAAGTTTACAAAGCAACTCAGATAAAAAGATAAGCACTCAGTAAACACACCTCTCTCTCTCTCTCTCCCTCACTCTCAAATGAACAAACCGTAACAGATAAAAAGAAGAAGAAGAAAAAAATGGCACAACCAATCTTCAAACCATTGTGTAACTTTCTATAGATAAAAAAAATCAGGTATCAAAGACAAATTGCACCCTCTCTGAACGTGGTTGTGGCTGGCTGCTAGATGAACCTCTATTTTCTGTTCCCGGGCTTGCGTTTCCCATCAGTGGCAGTCATCGTTTGCCTTCCCTTCCGGTGCACTGGAACTCCATTGCCGGATGGCAATTTCCGTGATGGAGAAGGGCCGAGCATAGGGGATGAGTTATGCTGCCTGCAACCAATGTCGAATGAGCAGCTCCTCAGGAACATGTAACAACATTTGTGTCAAACAAGAAACGCCAATTGGGTGAATTCTAGCCATAAATTCAAGGTAGAATGGATAGAACTTTCGGGCAAACAATTGAGGGGCTAGGAATCTTTATAATTGCAGACAACATTGCAACATGTTCTTCTAAGTTCAATTTAAGGTAGGCACTTATAAGTTATAAGCAATGTTCAACAACTTCTTAGGAGAATCAGGTGCAAGACATTCTGTGTAGAAGAATGTTCAATAAGGTGGAACTTCTCATGACTACAATATGGCAATATTCGTAATGTTAAATACACTGGGGTCGAACTTTCAATGGAATAACTGAGCCGTTAGGAGTATTGTTTACCATTTAAGAGACGTTTGTCATAATGTTCTAACTACAACTTAGAGTTGGAGGGGGGAAAGTTACCTCAAGTCTGGAGTTCTTGATGCAGTTGATGAAGTTGTTTTCTTGTTCTTCCGCTCCATCCCACTCCCCATGTTGCCGAGTTTGCACTGATTGAACTGCCATAGCAGATCAGGTTCTGACGAGTCACAGGTGTCAGCATCTAGATCATCCATCTCGTCTGTGCTGGAAGCATTGTACGTGGTGAACCCGCTGTTGCCTGTGAACACGTTGTATGACTGCTGCGAATAAGCTTTACTAGGATCCGAGAGATACTTCTGGTACATTGCTTCAGGGAAATGCCCATTCTCTGCTTCCCAGCAACCTAAAGAGCTGTCAAGTCTGTTTGCAGCATCCTGCTTGTTCACCATCACCTTGTCCACCCACTCACCAGACCCTATTTCTCTCTCCTGCTCTCCACAATTTTGGCTGTGACTAATGATGGGTGGCCATGGCGGTGAATTCGTCAATAGTTCGTCCTGATCAAAGCTTTGTGTCGTTTGCCTCGACAAAGTATTTGTTCGGACCTGCATGAAGGCGTAGTCAGTCAGAACTCTTGTATGTTGTTGAGCTAGTGAAATGAGGACATTCCACATTGCAAATATGATTTTCACTAGCAGTAAATTGTGGGGTTAATGCTGTAAGTTTTTTTTTTTATCACCTCTATGTTGCCTACATCGCCCATTGGTTGTCTGAGGTTACTGCTTTCACGGTCAACATTTCCAAGACGCTGGTTAGAATTAAATGGTGAGTACTCAGATTCCTTTACTCTTTTGTGTCTGTCGTTGCTCCCATATGCGGTTTGCTCTCTGGCTTCTTTCTTCAATAATGCTGCCTTAAGGGAGGCAACCTAAACAGAAGCCACAGCAGTACAATCATGAGTTTAAATGAAGCTGTTGACAAAGCTTGCCAACTTATTGTTGCAGGAAGTGCATTGTAACCACCTGTTCTTTAAGCTCTTTTACGTCTGAACTATCTTTGTTCACTCGAGCAGCACCGAGTTCTACGGTTGCAACTCGTTCTGCAAATTTAAGCGTGCTTATGGTTTCTCCAACAGCATCAGGTTCAGGACTGATGTGAACAAACATTAGCGTCTTGGCTTGGCCTCCTGCAACGACAGTGTTAGCAAAGAGAGAAAGATGAAGTAACATTCAGAACTCCGATGGGTTTTGGCCTTACCAAGTGAATCTTGAAGCAGTTGAGTAAGTTTGCTGTTCCGGTAAGGGACATGGGGATTCTTTTGAGCGAGGGAAGCAATCACGTCTCCTAGAGCTGAAAGCGATCTATTGATATGCTGCGCCTCTTTCAGTCTATCACCTCTAACCTCAGATTTATCTACCCTCTCACTCCCTGCCAGATCAACCAAGTGCATACACCCACGCAGAACTTTTCCAGAGGTCAAGTCTTTTCCTTGGACGTGAACAGTCAAGCAACTGCAATATCACATGAAAGTTGAGGAACTTCTACCCGCTGCGAATTCCAAGGTATTAAAATTGCGAAAGGACGTGACTTACCTATGAGAACGGCTGCTGCGGTCATTGAGGGCTGTGGCACCCACTGCACGGTTTCGATGTCCCAAGTTCATCAAGTAGATGACATCAGATGTTGATGCTACTGGAACTAGGTTTGCGTCCGGTACATTTAGACCCGTCTGTGAACTGTTGCGAATTTCTAATGTGTCAAAAAGTTAAGGACGAACAATGTTGGATTAATTCAGAATGATATCTGAGATGAAGTTAAAATGTGTCAATGTTGAAAATAAAGTGTATCAATTAATATGAAAAGCAAAATGGAACAACTGAAAGAAGGTGCAGGGGAGGGAGATGCAGAAGGATATCTCTTGTTGCTTCCATCACTAACAAGAAGATCTCGAACTTGTTCATTGTAAATCTCAATCATCTGAACTGCCACATTGTAACAGAAGGTGTCTTTTCTTTGTTCCGCTAGAAGAAACAAATCGCTCAATGCTCTATAGTTTACACCTTTGCTTTGCTCTGTAAGATCTCTGGGTCCTGTCTGGATATGTCAGACAAAACAAATCAACAACATTCTGATTATAGGTTGCCATTCTATGATGCAAAGTGAAAGCTTCTCTTTACCATGGTGTAAGTCTTTCCTGATCCTGTTTGACCATATGCAAATATGCAGACATTGTATCCATCGAGAACAGAGCGAATTAATGGTTGCATATCAGAGAAGACTTCAGCTGTCATCCGAAGGAAGTATGTGAGTCAAAAGTTGCATAAGTTGTTGAACCACACTAATCTTCAAATCAAACTCCAATAATGTAACCTTGGGTTGCAGATGGTCCATAGACTTTATTGAAGCTGAAGGATTTCCTGCTATTCCCATGTTTCGATGATGTATTAATAGAAATGGTTCCTTCTTCCAAAGAATCCACACTGCTCAAGAAGTTTGATTGTCCAGAAAGAAATGGCCTCACTCGGCAGTAAACCCGGATACTTCCTGCTCAACCAAAATGAACTGTATTAACTTAAGAATGCATCAGATGACCATCCTTAGATTAAGGCAAGCAGTAACTCACCCTTAAGGTCTTGGACCTGATTGTACAGCTTACGGTTCTCTTGAAGAACCTTGTGGTAACCGGATGCAGCATGAGCTAGGCCATGAATATGCACACCTGCAAAGAATGACAAATAAATTCAAACCTCCTAAAACATGGGTTTATGTCCAATAGAATACGAGTTTTTTTTACTCTTGTATTTGTGACCAAGGTGATTATTCCCAGAAACATACCTAGAGTGTTAAACTCCTCATGAAACTCTCTCTGCATGGAGTGCATACCAGCTTTTGCAATGTGGAGAGTTTGCTTCAAATCCTACACATAAAATCAAAGCTCGATTCTCTATATAATTGGCCCAGTATAAATAGTGAAACTAAAATCCCAGACTAAAGCGTACCTGAATGTCGTGTTGCTGTTGATCAAACAGTGCCTGCTGCTTCAGGATTTTACTTCTCATTTCCTCAGTAGGCACGTGACATTTCTCATAGCTTTCTTCTTTCTTATAGACTCTGGTGCTTTTGGCTTCAGCCTGTGAGTTTTCCAAAGGAATAAAAGAAAATTTGTTGGAGCAACATATTCATGCTCTAAACATAAAAGTCTTAAAATGCAACTGTGCTCCAACTGCGTTTCTGATGTAGGGAAGTGGTTCCCTCAAATTCAGAAGATGAAGGTGGTAATCAAGTGGTTACCTTTTTATCAAGGGGTGCAGAGTGGGTGGAGAACTTGTTGGTCTGACAAATAAAATAGATCAATAGTTGCAAAAAAACAGCATCCTGCAAATGTAAAAAGGACTAGGAAAAGATTGACACATACCATATCATAGTGGCCTGAAATACGATTCTCAAACGCATCAACCACCTTTGAGAGCACTGATTCAACCAACTATTATAACAAAGAAAGAAGCAGCTTATCCTTGTTAGGATCAATAGCAAGCAGATAAGTCAAATGCTTTATACTGGTGATTGTATAAAATCCGTACAAGATAAACCTTCAAAATTTTCAGCATGCTTCTGAAAAAGTTAAGCAAAATATTTGCACACCAATGGAACTTCATCCTTGCTAAGCCTAATAGAAAAACAGAATGCTGAAATGAACTATGATAAGTAAAGAGGAGTGAGTACAGCCAGTGTAATATCTCACCCCGGGAACTTCTTCTGGTTTCTTATCTGACAGAACTGCACGAACAAGCATACTCAAGGATCCAGTAACCTGCACAACAGGGAAAAGAAAAAAGAGGAGAAGCATAACACTCGGTCATCCAAAGCAATGTAGATAATGCAATCATGAGAAACAGAACTTATAGTGTTGAGACAAACCATTTTACTAGGATCAACATCAGCAGAGAGAGTGTTCAAGTGCTTCTCATATGCTGACATATTCCTAGACAAAGAATTGGTGAAGGGCTCCGAATTCTTCCTCACAAAAGATTTTGCGGGGGCAGTAGGTTTTACATTCCCACCGAACTTCCAAACTCCATTTCCTCCTGCTTGTTTCCATTCACTGTAAGACTTAAGTGCCAAAACACTATTGACCACCCTTGCAGATTTACCTCCCTGCAAGATAATTCAAACCAGAAGAGAAGGAAACGGACCCATCAATTTTGAACCCAGAAAAGCTCTATAAAACAAGAGAGGAAGATGCTGCTTTTTGTTTGTTTGTTTGTTTGTTTGCAGAGAACAAGCTTTACTTACTTGCTCAAGATCAGAGGCTTCAAAAGTTGGAATTCCCATTTCCTGCACACCCACAAGGAAATTCCTGACATTCTCAAAATACTGAAATGCTGACAACGCTGCTCCTTCTGGTATAAGAGCGGCATCACACGGGCTCTCAACCACCTGAAAGGTCCATTAAATCGGCACACAAGCATTTGAGAAAGAGCCAAACAACCAAAACAAAACAGCCCTTTCAAATTTAGCATCAAGAGTTTGAGAATTTTTTTTCCACCTTGGGGACAGCTCCAGTTTGAACCTTATTGAGGGCATTGCAGAGGATGATTCCGCTCCTGAGCCCAAGTCTGAACTCTTCTTCCGATGGCTCAGCTGGTAAATCCTTGGCCGCCAGTACTCCGATCGTTTTCCTCAACCACCCGGCCGCTTCATACCTTCTTGAGGCTACAAAAAAAAATTCAATAATACTGATCATCAGACTCTTGTTCCAAAGCCTAGTTTCCAATTTCGGTTGCTTTTTTTTCTTCCTATGCCGATCACCAGAAAAGGAAAGTTGGAGCTGGATCGGAGTCGAGAAAGCCGGAAAAGCAAAGAGACTATCATTCTATCAACCAATTACTCAACATTCCGCCATTATCTACGGCCGAGACACAATTCACAGCAAAATTGACTCAAAACTCAAAATCTTAAAGAGAAGACTAGAAAATGGCGGTTACCGGCTTCCTCAGCTCGTCTGGAGTCCAAATCAACGACTCCCAACCTAGTCCCGTGCTGTTGAAGTACATCCTCCACCACCGAAGCCGCCGAGAACGACAATGCCCCGCCCTCACCGGCCATTTCTTCCTCCCTCGCCGGCGACTGTTTCGTCTCTCCCTTGCTTACTTTTCTCGCGATGCGGCTTCTCTTTCTTCCTTTATTTCGCTTTCTTCTCTCCCTTCTACTTTACTTTGCCTCTAACCATGGAGTACGCTCACATTCTCCTCTCATACAGGCGACAGATAAAAAGTTGCGGAGCGAGCGAGTGCTCTCTCTCTCTCTCTCTCTCCTTCTGGTAGTGAGTGAGGTTTCTGTTCTGCTGCTTTATCGTCCACTTCTCTTCTCTTCTCTGCTTGGCAGTGCCGAACCTAGCAGCTCCACTCTCCGAACCTACTTGTCATATTTTTGAATTAGATGTGGCCGTTTGGTTAGTGTGTTGTTTGGACTTTGGATCGCGAATGATGTAATGTGGCACACAATTTTTTTTTTTAAATATACTATTATAAAATGGAATAGGTGTGGTGTTTGTTTAACATTTTCCTGAATTTGAAAAAAGTTGTCTTCTATTGTGAGAGAAGTATGTTTGGTACGGTTTTAGAAAAAAAAAATAAAGATTACGGAAAGTGATACATTAGTTAAGAGAATGTTGAAAAAAATAACGAGGTAGTGAATATTTTGTTTAATGATAAATAGTGGGAGAATTTTGTTGAGAGAATGTTGAGAAATGATTGTTAAGAATATATACTTTTTCTAAGGGGAGAAAGTTGGAAATGAAATTCTTTTACTTAGAAGAACTTACGATTTTAATAATTTATGGGTTTTAAAAGTGAATTGTAACTTTAACCAGAATTCGATGAAAATGTTAAAATATATTTATAAATAAAGTTGGAATATTGTTCCACTTATGTCGTCATATTTAAGCGACACGGCTACAATCAATTTCTTGTTAAGTTCAGCTCACTATATCAAAAATGTTTTTCTTTTGATAATCACCTACTTCATATTTGAATTTTGAACTTTATCACTTAGTAGAAGTTAGTGGCCTACCAGTTTATTATATGTGGGTTGGTATGACACAATGGAGTATTGTAAATGTTCATTGAATTCTACATTGAATGTTACTTTGTATTCCATTTATTTACCCTCCCTACATCGATCATGAAAATAAATAATCTTCATGGTCAATATTAGTCATTATCTCACATTCATGTGTATTGATAAAGAAAATTATAGGGGTTTGCATTTGTGCATATAAAATAGAGCATAATCTCATTATACAAAGAAATATGATGAATAAGACGAATACTTCTTACTTCTTCTCTTGTATATTGTTTTCTCTCTATCATTGCTCTTATACCTGTTCCTCTTTTTTGTTATTTTTATAACACGAGTCATGAAATTTTAGCTTTGAAAAATGTTTGAGTTGCAAAGCAAAATAATCATCGCTTTTAGGATTATGTTAAACGTAGGAATTAGATTGCCAATCTTGAAATACAAAATAAGATATGAATGCATTATGCGAAACAACAATTAGTAAGAAAAAAATCATAATAATTCAAGGTTGAGATCAAACATTTAAAATATAAGCAATCCAATATCAAATCAATAAGTGACAAGATAGGTCAATCAAACAGTTAATTAGGTTGACAATTAGGCCTCTAAATAGTCAGTTCTGCAAAGCTATATCAAGTTTTTTTTTTATTGCTAAGGCATGCATACTCTAGTAGGAGAAAGAACGATAACGAAGAGGTATGAATTTAAGTTAAGGTTTAAGTTTATTTATTTAACATAAACATAAGGGTTATCCATTCATATCAAATGTGAAACCTAATCTAAACTAGATGCATCAACCCACAAATTAATGTTAAGGACACACTAATCACAAAATTATTCTATCAAAGTAAAAAAGGTGATTGACAAAATCAAGAAAGGGTAGTCGTTCTTAACTTGTTATAGATTTCTCGACATGTTTAGGGCTGAGGTTTAATGTTTTAGGGGTTAGAGCTCAAGTTTAGGGGATTCAGGAATTATAGTTTAATGTGTAGGATTTTGGAAATTAGAGTTTAGAGTTTATAAATTAAGGCTTAGTCTAAGGAAAAGAAATCAAGGCTTAGTATGAGTTTTCAGGGGGTCAAGGGTTAGGATTTAGAGTTTGCAATTTAGGAATTAGGTGGTTTCATGTTTTAAGTTTGTGCAAACGTCAAGTTCAAATCTTACGCTCCCAGGAATGGATCTAAGTGATGGCAAGGTGTGTCGTCCAACACACCTTAGACCGAAAAATTTTGTGGGGAACCAAATTTTTTCGGTACAATTTTTTTTAACTTGAGACTTTTGACACCGCTCGATAATTGTAAATGACACACCATGATTATACTAAAAGAAATTTATTGTGATAAATTTACAAAAAAAAAAAAAAAATTGTGAGAGCTAAAGGATGGGAGCCTCTACTTGATGATGTGATTTCATTTTGCAAATAAGGAACAAATTGATGTTCCTAACATGAATGACTAGTTCACTCGTGTTGAAAGATGCATAGCAATTGTATTGTATCACTATCAAGTTGATTTATTTTATGCGGTTATTGATATGCAATTGCAAGAATTTAACACTTGATTTGGTGAAGTGAATACTCGATTGATTGACTGCATTTCTTGGTTTAGTCCAACTAACTCATTTGCTGCTTTTGATAAACCAAGGTTGGTGACTCTTACTAAGTTTTATCCTGAGGAATTCTCATTCAATGTGCTCACATGGCATGATCAACAATTGGGGTGTTACATTTTTTCAAGTCCAGAAGATAGGAACTTTGATGGATTGCAAGGAAGATAGGAGTTTATGGAGTTATTGTTGACTTTACCTGTTGCAAGCTGCGAAAGGGCCTTTCAGCTATTAAAATCAAGAACGATCTTTGGAGTTGGTTGAGTGAACAAATTATGAATGATTGTTTATTTTTGTATATTGGAAAATGTTTGATTTGCAAAAAAAGCGATAAATGTATTTTACAAACATTTCATCTAATGAAAATTCTTCGTTGTAAAAAATGATGACATTGTGATTTGTGAACTTTATGAATTATTTTTTTTTATAATTTTTATAGTTATAATTTTATTTATTATCGTATTATATCGATCAACACACCTCTTCAACAATTCTTGTCTGCCACTGTCCGCTCCAAATGCACATAGGGCTAATATTTGGTTAGTGGTTAAGCCATTAAACTAACTAGTGACTTATGATTAACGGTTATATTGTTATCCAATTAAAAGTTAGCGCTATACTAGTAGCCTCGGGGTGACTAATAACCAAATGGTCGGTTAATAGTTAAACCGTAAACTAATCAAGTACAAATATTTGTTTCTCTCATGCAAAATAATCACGTCCCTCTCAAAGAAACTCTCAAACTTCGACCAAACAATCTCCTCCATGCTCTTACTCTCTTTGACTTTCCCCTATTTCTTCCCACTATGAATTCTAAAATTGGAAGAGGCAAAAAGTACTACGACCTCTATTGCAGGAAAGATTGCAAAGAATGTGCTTAATTTTTTTCATAAATGGTTTCCCTCACCTAGTTCGCACTCATCACTCTTATCATTCATTTCTTCGCTTTCTTCACTCAATCACAATAGGAAATAAGTCAAACTCAAATCACCGACTCTCCAAAGACGTGTTCGTCAATCAAATCCTAACCTTTCTCCACATCGAACCTCTTGCGCCACTAGAACCAGCCAAATCCCTGTCGGCTATTACCCTAGCATTGGTTCCTCATCCTCCACTCGCTACTTCTCAAAGGGCATATCTACTGCATTCTTTGTCATCGCTTTTTCTTCTCCGTATTTGTTACAACTTACAACGACTCCTCCACTCTGTAATTCGACCTCGTCTTCATTGTTCTCCATTAGTTTGAGATTGAGATAGAAATCCTAGACGAATTTGATGTTTGTCTCTAAAATGTTGGGCGTGCAGAGTCAAATTGAGCTCATATTCTGCATTTGCACGTTAGATACAATGATATTGGTAGATCGATAGGTTCTAATAAGTTGGAAATCGAAAAAAATAATTAGTCAATTATTTCAATCAAACTTTTCTGAATCATTTGCTAGCAGGTTAGCTGGTCAACAGGAAAAATTAACCTATCACCGGTTAAGCTGACTACATAAATGATGAAATTACCGGTAATATAAATTCATAAATAATTAAATGAAAACTGAATAAATTGTTATAATTATGACCAAACCGAGTCGATTAATATGCCTAAACACACCCATAAAAGCATTAATAAGTCAATTCTATGGTATTTCTCAAGAATTTAGCACTTCGAACTTCAACTCAATCTATTTTGAAAAATATTTGAATGTAATTTTTTCGGTTGGTTTCTGCTCTCTAGCCCACAAAATCATAGGCGGAGCCAAGGACAATTGAATGTGTCCCGGGGCACAGGCAACTTTTGGGGAAAATAAACTACCCATATATATGTATCAATTAAGGATTGCACTCATCACGTTTAGGTAATATCAAAGTGAATTATCACTATACTACAAGTTATTTCAAGTTTAAAAGCTAACATAAACTAATTTATCACACTATAAACAAAATTCACAATACTAAAAAATCGATCTCTATGTCTTATTTAGTTAGTTTTGACTCTACTCGTTACAACTGCAAGTGCAAAAAAGAACATTTTCAGATTTGAGTTATATCAAAAACAAAGTTTCAAAGTCGAATTGCGACCAATTTGCTAATGGTTGCTTAGTCGGATACATTGAGAATTTGAAAACGTGTTGTAAGTGTTTATGAAAATAATGATTGTGTTAGTCTAGTATTTCATTAACATCTATCAATGAATTATTTGAATATTATTAGTTTTAATTATATTTATTAAATAATATATATTTATATTATGAAAATAGGACACATGTACTTTCAAACTCTGGCTCCGCCACTGCACAAAATGCTTTTGGAACTATAAGTGAAATGTGGGTTATATCCTATACTTTTTATAATCGGAGTAGACATTGAACCAAAAAAGTTATTGGCTTGTGACTCAGTTATTAATCATTATAAAATTGTTGATAGAACCGTCCATCCACTGTAATACAACAGACATGTATAATCCACTAATTAAGGACTGAATTTATCACTAACGGTAAACAATTTAAAATTCATCATCCATCACAAAAAATTCTAGCATATCATTCAAACGGTTTCACCAAAGGAATCACCAAAAATTATTAAATTAAAGTTAATAATTAGGGTTACCTTCAATAGTACACCACATAAAATTGACAAAGAGGCTGGATAAAGAAGCAGAAGCATAAATAAAATTGGTAACTAAG